TGTTTATTTCAGAGAGAGAGCACCAGCAGGGGGAGCTGCAGGCAGAGGGAGAGGGACAAGCAGACTCCCTGCTGAGCAGGGAGCCCCATGCGGGACTTGATCCCAGGACCCTGGGATCATGACCTGAGGGGAAGGCAGGTGCTTAACCGACTGAGCCACCCAGGCGCCCCTGAGTGAATGCTTTTGTAATTTATTTAACTAGAGGAGGGAAGAGGAAGAAACCTGGATTGTTCTTCTCTCAAGGAAGTGAGACTAAAGAAACAGCATCACACTTCCCCCAGAAATGTGAATGGAACTCTTTTACCTTAATAACTCTTTCTTGTTCTCCTTGTTGAGGGAGAGCAGTAGCAAACAGGATGGAGATTTGAGGAGCCAGTTGTTCTGGTGGGTGGTTCTCCTCCCGTAAATGTTCCTGGAAAGAAAGGCCTGCTGCTTGTGTTCTTTGAGGGGGAAAAAAAGAGGCCACCAAGCAGGAAGAACTCCTTGACATTACAGAACTTTAAGTCCCTGGAAAATTGCTTTCTGAATAAAGTACAAGCTAGTAAGCTGCCTAAGAGATGTTGCAATCTAAAGACAAAAATACAGCCTAAAGGGGCTCGACTGCAGACAGCAGTTTTCTTTCCTTCTGTCCAGTGGAAGAGTTTTATTTCTCAGCAGAAGCTTACGGAGAGCTATATGAAATCTTAAAGTTCTTTTATGGTCCAGAAGGGAATGGATGCAGAGTTTGACAGGAGAGCTTTTTGTTTGATTCTGTCATACAGCATCATAATATTTAAGTCAGGGATAGTTTCATTGGTTCATGACACGACCATGTGAGAGTTCTCGTAATAATCAGCACATGGCAGGTGCCTAAGAGTGAAAGTGAGATGGCCCAGAGGATCTGGTACGAGAGCCTGGTGCTGAGGGGAAGACCAGCCGGGGGCTTTTGGCACCACACGCTTACTCATGTTGTACAGTTTTCATTCTTTGAATCCCCTTTCAAAATGAGTCAAATAGGACTCCTGCTGTGTTCTGAGTAACTCTGTGGGAAATATCACTCCTTTTCTGTTGGTTGAATATAAATAGCTTAAAGGGGAAACAATAATGACTGGAGAGTGGCATTCAGGGAAACGGGTCTTGTCGTAACCCAGTTTGGGCTCATGACTGAAGAATTAACACTATATGACTTCTCCTCTAAGGCTTATTCATACATGATGGAGTTTTAAGGCAGCTATAATATAATAGTGATGAATCCTATTTGTAAAACACCTGTTCAAAAGAATTCATCCTACTTTACTGACAACTGTTTTTTTTCAACTGTCCTGTGAAGCAGAGAGACCAAAAAGTACTATTTCAAGCCTCCTGTTGGGGGAAACAGATACTCAGAAGTAGGGAAGTGCAGATAGATGCAATCAAGGTCATCCAGTTATAATATAAAATTTCTCTCAGCAGATTGCACTTACGTTCTGTGGCCACCTTTTTTCAGCCCATAGACCATATCAGTTTACCAACAACAATAATAATATTGCTTAAAGGCAGTATTTATTGAGTATACACTGCGTGCCAAGCACCATTAAGCACTTTAAACGCAGTGAATCCTTTGAAGTTCACTAGGGAACAACCGTATGGAGTGGGAATCACTGTTAACCCTACTTAGTAAGTGAGGAAACAATTACACAAAGGTTGTGGCTTGCCTAAAGTCACATATAACTAATGACAGAAGCAGAAACCAAACCTAAACAGTTGGGCTCCAGGGTCCATGTTCTTAATAATTATGCCATCCTCAATTTAAAAATCTCCACAAAAACTATCCCATTTTTGTTTCAATGACTAAAAGAATACATGTGCATAACACTTAAGTTTTCATGGAAGGATTTACAGTATTTTAGAGGCTTTTATTTCTGTGTAGTTTATCAAGTTAGATAGCTGGTGGAAAATAATTTTCTAAATCTAAAAGGGAGTTTGGGGCACCACCTATATTATATATGGCTCTGAGCCTAGAAATTTGCAAGAACCACAATTTGGAAACCACCATCAAAGCCTCAAATAAAATTTTTTTAATAAAATTTCTAGGCTAACATGTGAAACTTAACCTGGAGATAAAACCTGGAGAAGAAAATTAAGTTTGAAGTGACAGACTCTTACTTTTCAGAGTATCTAAAATAATAAGCAGTAGATTCACCAATATAAAGTATAGTACCTATTTTTTTTAGTATAGTACCTTTAAATTAGAGATTTGGAACATTACAAGTTAGTTTGGAAGATAGTGTTTTGTTGCCTTGTAAAAGCTTAGAAAAGGGTATTCCCTCAGCAAAGAGAAATTATTTTATTGTCATTGATTAAAAAACAATGGTAACAGAAAGGTCTCTAGTGTCAACTTATAGGGCTTTATGTGGGATAACTTATTCATGCCAGCATTTTTTATAAAATTTTTTCAACTTTATTCTAGCCACTGCCCCCCACCCCAGCCTTCAGCATTCTAATTCACATTGGTAAAAGGCTGAGCACCTGTTGAAGCTCCCCTGAAGGAACTGCAGCAGACTAAGCTCACTAAAAATAAAAAAGGAAAGCAAAACTCCTATGTAGTAGAATATTGGGATGAAATGGGCATTCTTACTTTGTTTCCATTTAACTCCCAATTTGTTTCCATTTAACCCTCCATTTAACACATGGTATTGTGTCCCTGAGTGACTTAAAGAGAGAACATTATCTAAAAATGCAGACATGGTATCAGAAAGGCAAACAAAGGTAAGTGGAGGGCAGTACGTGTGAGATGAAAGCCTTCAAGACCAGTGACAGGCACTTTTTCCAATCCTCCCTTACCTTACTTCTGGAACCCAGCACAGGAATCCTCTGGGGATGTGGGGCAGCATGGTCACACAAGCCACCAAGAATAATAATGGAGATGAGTTCAGCTCACCCAGCTGAGCTTTCTTCAACCACAGGATCATTCTCTAGCCCAAAGCTCAGGGGAGAAACAATGTGAAAAACTATGTTTTCTTAATCTGTCATTGTGTGGGACATTCATTTTCTTTGCGAGGAAAAAATGAAAGATTCTGATCTCTACTGTTGTACAGGGAAAGATTTTCCAAAATAAGCATAGTAAGATATGGATGTCCACAAGTGAATTAGCATCCTAGATTTCAGTGAGTTGTCAAAGCTTAGGGAGTGTGTTTATCCATCTCTCTGCAACCAGTATTGTGAATGAAATGGTTCTGGGGCTGGTTTGAAAAAGTATTGGAAATCCCTATTGTACACAGTCTGCCAGGGAATTTCTTAGAATGCTGAGTGGTGGAGGTACCTCCTTGTAGGTAGGACCTTATTGAACAGGGCATAGGAACTTGGTCCAAAGTTAGTACAACATCCATGGAATGAGTCATAAGATTAAGTTATTAGGGCAACATGCTTACTACCTTTTAATACTTTAATAAGATTGGCCTGGGTCATTGCAAATACTCTAGCATGAACTTGCAGATAACAAGAGATGGAATGAAGGTGTAATCTGCCCCCGTTCACGTTATCTGCAGAGAGGATAGTGGATGCTCATTATTCATCCATGGATGTCTGAACTCAGGAGCAGTTTCTTTGGTCTTGGAGGAAGAAACAAAGATAAAGATCTGATTTGTCACCAGAAGTTGCCTCTGTCTGAAAGTCCAGAGACTTGACTCCTTGGCACAGCTCTTGTCAGGACTAGCTGTGTAACCTTGGACAAACCATAAATTTCTTTCAGGCACAAGTTACTCAGTGGTCAGAAGAGGAGTTTTAATAGGTTGGTTGCTGAGGCCAGGGTCAGAACTAGATCTCAAGCTTCTCTAACTTGGGCAGGTTCTATAAGACCTGTTCTGTAGACCCGCGGAGTGTCATGGTAGGTAGATTTTCTTTGGTGTTAAAACGAATTAACCATCATAAATTCCTCCATTTTCAGAAGAAATCAGTAATGTGGGCCACAGGTCTTAACCTAAAATTGGATGGACAGTCTTTTATTGTAACAGATGTGGAGAGGAAGAAATGCCCTAGTTTTGTTCTGTCCAATATGGCAGCCATGAGCCATGTGTGGCTAGTTGAATTTAAATTTATATTAATTTAAATTAAATAAAAAATTTAGTTCCTCAATCATCCTAGCCCATTTCGAGTGCTCAGTAGCCACATGTGTCTGCTGTATTGGGCAGCACATACATAGAATTGCAGAAAGTTCTATTGGTCAACACTGTTTCAGACCTTTGCCCAGACCACAAACTGCAGCTATTTGTCCTCCCTTAGTGCAATTTGTCCTCCCTTAGTGCAAGACATAGATGTTTGTGCCCTCGGATGACTGTGTCCATCTTTAAGGAATGAAAGAATGTATTAAAACTCATGTGGACAAAGAATTATAAGACACTCTTCAGGCAAAAGATGTTGGCATTGAGCAAGAGTTTGAGAGAGATGGGGAGGTTAAAGGAAGGAGTTAGGAAACACCCAAACCATTCTGTGCCTTGAGTCTTGGCTAGTCCTGAGCTTCTGTAGGACACAGAGCCCCTAGAGGGGTGTTCCTCAGAGATACACTCACCCTATGATCCCAGAGATGGAGAAGTATGAGAAAAGCAGGTCTCCCCTTATCCCCAGGAAATCAGGGACCCTCTCAGTACTCGAGGGTGGGGAAAAGGTTAGTCATGTCGGGCTCATGTTTCAAAAGAGAAAGTTGTTACATAACTGGACTGGCAGGACAAGAAATAGTTCAGGCTTTCTGGGAATAGGTGAGAGGGGTAAGCACTCTAACAGCCAGCTCCTTAGGTGTAGGTCTGTGCAGTAAAGCCAACGAATGTTTTAAGGCTTAAGCTTAAATATTAGTAAGAAAGCATCAGTGATATAAGGCTTTTCTACAGATTTGGCACCCTGGTTCTGCCTTCAGCCCTGCTGGCTAGGGGGCCATGCCAATGGGGAAAGGAAGAAATCAGAGGCAGGTGGCAAAAAGTGTAATTTTAGCTGCTGTCTGAAAGTCACCTGTGAAGGGAATCACCTTTCTCTTCTGGACCCACTTCCAGGTGCAGCTGCAGGGGACGATACTGAAGATGCTAGCACCGAGTTCACGGACAGCATCGAGGAGGAGGCTGCCCACAATAGCCACCAGCAAGTAAGTCCAAGTCAGGTTCTGGGTTCCCAGGGTGGAGGGCTCAGAGCCCTTTGGGGTCTGGTGGTCTCCTGCAGCCCTTGTGAGCCTAGAGGAAGAAGCTATCTTTTTATAAAAACCACTTCCCAGTCTTCCTTCTGCCCTCCCTGAGCTTCCCAGCCACCTTGCCAGCCAACCCCTATCCTCATTCCACTTTTTTTTTTTTTTTTTTTTTTTTTTTTACTCTTTCTCTCTCTTGCCCCTCCTTCCCACCTTTGCCCCTCTGTGCCATCTATAGCTATAGCTTCAGAAGAAGGTTTACTTACAAGACCATGGACAGTTCCCCTCTTGGGTTTTTGTATCTGAAACACACCACAGAAGACAGGGAGTCATCGGAGGGCTGCTTGGGGGAGGTGGCAGGCCTAAGACCTGCTTCAGGAGAGTGCTCTCCGAGAACCTCCAAGAGGATTGGAATGCTTCCAAAGCAGGGATCTGTCTTGGTGAAAGCTCGTTACACAAAAGAGGAGTCTGTTGGGCAACCTGACAGACCACCCAGGTTGGGACACATCAGTGACCAGCAGGTGACACTTCGAGAGCAAGCCCCCATCAAACCTCAGAACTTGGTACCCAAGGCTGAAACACTGTTCCCACCAGCCGTCAGTGAAGGTGTAACCAGCATGTTCGAAAGCTCAAGAGTTGCATATCCTGGACCTCAGAGATTAAGTCACTGACAGTGATCCCATTGCACTCACTGGCCCTCCTATGTGTCTCCCCCTTGCATAATGACACTTAGCAATCACATCTCCTACATGGGTCATGCCTGTGAGTCTCTGAGTTATTAAGGAGAAAGTGGATCATTGGTATCCATCCTTCTGCAGAAGTAGCTGGGCTTTTCCAGTGGTAGCTTCCTTGGAGCTATTAGAAAAACTGCTGGGAAAATGAGGCTTTCTGGGTCTGCCTCTATATCTCCTGTATAAGAAAAAGAGGAGACCAACAAAAAGAACTACATGAGCATTCCTCAAATCTCACTGGACTTGGCATAGTCTTTGGCTCTTGAGGACATGAGCAGTCAGTTGTCTGGGCTACCTCATGTCCTCAACACCATTTCTTTACCTTCTACCAAGATCCCCTTTTTGTTACTCTAGCCATACCTGACCCTTACTTCTCTCTTAAATTCTTGCATGAGTTCCACTTCTCCTTTTGCTTGAACAGCTTCTTCTAAGTCCTTCTAACCAGTGCTTGCTTGTGACTTTAATTATGTATACTGCTGCCTCTCTGGACAGATCCCTCTGCCTTGCACTCCTTAATGTCACTGAGGAGCTTTGGGGAGAAGAGAGGGATCTTCAAGATAAACAAATGTCCACTCTAAGAGTTAGATTGGGAAGTCAGCTGGTCACTGGTGGTTATTGCTGCTGTGGACAGGATTAGCTTCAGAAAAAGTGAACCAGAGACACAGATGTGAAGACAGCTAGATTCCTTCCTACAGCCTAGCATGGAGCAAATGACCAGACCACATACTGAGAAGGTCATTTCAACCCTGGAATAAACCTTTACATTGGGGCATGTGTATTTCCCTTGCAATGGCTGCCCTATTATGTGGCAAAATTACTTAATAAATTATTAGTTAACCTTTGGATTAGGGCTTGACTCATGATAGACAAATTTATATACCTGCTGGATGAAGACTATCTTGGGAAAGCATCATTTTCTTTCCATCACCTTTCCTTGAAAATCAGTCTCCAGTTCTGGGTAGGAGGAACCATGGTGTATGAAATCATTGTAAATTCACTTCAACTTTTCTGGAGTTTGAGGGTGTGACTCTCCTGCTGCCAAATAAATAAAGCTTGTTTTGCCATAACTGTTTTGTGTCCAGATTCTCAAAACTGTGTTTGCTGGTTTCTGGGGAATTAGGCTCTGAGTTCCTCCTTGCTGTGTCCCTGGAAGGTAAACTTTACTCAACAGCAAGCTACCTTCCTACCTCAGGCATACACAGACTTCCCCTAACAAACAAATCCCACTTTGTGTTCCTTCTAAGGCAAGAGCTATCTTTTAGCCAAAGCAAGTTGCTGCATCCTTGTTTTTAGACTCACTCACATCAGGAAGTCTCAGGTCTGGCTATGTTGGTAATTTTCCCCAGGTATCTCCCACAAAATCCCATTCTCGAGCAAATGTAAGGTCTGTAATAAATAACTAGGAAATGCCTGTGAAATGAATCAAGCATTGCCTTTCTTCATCTGAACTTGTGCAGTGGAAAAAAGTTAATCAAGAATCAAGATTCCAATGCAGTGAAAGAGAAAAAAGTCAGTAGACTTAGTGTGAAGAACTTGAGAAAAAATCATTAATGCCCTTCATGCATGTGAGAACTGATTTACATTGTGAGACATATGTCATAGGGTAAAAACAAAACAACTCGATTCAAACAAGAGATCAGATGTGCACATAGATTTCTGTAGGGTAAAAGGAAACCCAGCACACACAAAAAAGGTTTAATTATACCATGGAAGCAATAGAACAGATTAATTAGGAAATGACCAGTGGGGAGGAACCTGTAAGAGATATAATTAACAACAGACCTAAAGGATTCATACTACCACCACACATACTGAAAGCCCTGGGGTTTTATTTGGGGAAAATACAGAAATATCACCTTTCTATAGAAGAGAAAGAAAAACTGATTAAAAAGCTAGATTCTGAGTCATTTTTCATGCATTTACATTTCAACTTTAAAGATAAGTTAGCGTAAAGTAAGCTCCCTTTGACACAGAACCCAAATTAGCCTGGAAACAAATCATAGCTCTATTTTCTAATTTTAGAGGGGGAAATTAGACCAGGTGTACCTTCAGGCCCTTTCTGGTATTGACATTCCATGGTTCTTAATTTTTTCTTTTTAAAGAAACTAGGTATATTGAAATCAATGGAAGATAACATACATTCAGAAGGCAGTTTAAAAATAGGTATAGCGGGGGTACCTGGGTGGCTCAGTCAGTTGGGCATCCAGCTCTTGATCTCAGCTCAGGTCTTGATCTCGGGGTCATGAGTTCAGGCCCCATGTTGGCTCCTTGCTGGGTGTGGAGCCTACTTTAAAAAAAAAAAAAGGCATCATTAAAGTGAGTTTTTGTTTTGTTTTTTTTAGATTTTATTTATTTGAGAGAGAGAGAGCATGAGCACGGGGGTGGGGGAGGGGGAGAGGGATAAGCAGACTTCCCTGCTGAGCTGGGAGCCCGATATGGGGCTCGATCCCAGGACCTCGGGATCATGACCTGAGCCAAAGGCAGACGTTTGACCGACTGAGCCACCCAGGTGCCCCGAAGTGAGATGTTATTTTTAAACAGAAGGAACACTTAGGTTTTAGAGAAGAATAAAGTGCCCATTTTCAAAGCTGATGGCAATGTTTATTTTTTTTAAAGGTTTTATTTATTTATTTGAGAGAGAGAGAGCACGAGCAGGGGCAGAGGGGGAAGCAGACTCCCCACTGAGCAGGGAGCCCGATGTGGGGCTCGATCCCAGGACCCTGAGATCATGACCTGAGCTGAAGACAGACACTTAACCTGACTGATCTACCCAGACGCCCTGGCAATGTTTATTTTAGTTAAATTAGTTGGAAAGGGTTTACATAGAAGGGTAACATCACATAGTTGAAATGAAGGGTTGAGGTCCTAAATTTTCAAAAGTGGTCTTATCCAGTCCCCCTTTCTTTATCTTGTCCCAAGTGCTTGATTGCACACGTGGAGATAGGCCAGTCTAACTGAGCCCGGCAGCAGAGCCAGGGAGACAAATGTCAGGCTCGGAACCCTAGGAATGCCTGGGAAATGAGCAACTGTGTCTATGCATCTTTCTTCATTATCTCTTTGCAACCTCAACTGCTGTTCTACTAAACACCATGGCACATACATATGGCGCACCCATGCCGTGAATCGACTCTACCCATACAGCCTAGGTTTCACCATGCTCAGTTATAAGCAGAAGTGTATGGCTTTGTGTCAGGCCAAGCAGCTCTCTCGATCATTGATCCATTGAAGCTGCTCAGGGCCCTGTTCTGTTCAATATATTTGTGACCTGAATGAAGGTATAAAGCATATAATTAATTCTACAAATCATCCCCAACTGAGTGGCTACTACTTGATTTGTGGAGATGCACATAAAATATTTTGAGGACTTGGATCATTGAGAAATGATTCTGGATAGCCAGAATGAATTTACCAGTGACAAGTATAAGTCACACTATTTTTTTTTTTAAGATTTTATTTATTTGACAGAGAGAGACACAGTGAGAGAGGGAACATAAGCAGCGGGAATGGGAGAGGGAGGAGCAGGCTTCCCGCATAGCAGGGAGCCCGATGCGGGGCCCGATCCCAGGACCCTGGGATCACGACCCAAGCTGAAGGCAGACGCTTAATGACTGAGCCACCCAGGCGCCCCCAAGTCACAGTATTAATACAGATAGAAGAAACCGCACGAGGCAGAAATAGCTGTGGGAGAGAGGTGGGAAGCTGGGAGATCAAAATGGACCCGAAGCTAAGTAGAACCCCAAAGTGCAGTTACAGAGAGGAGAAAGAAGCAACGTGGCATTGGGATGTATTAAGATAAATATTGGATGGATGGACAAGAAATGCTTGCACTAAAATACTTAGTCATACACTGAGTGGGTTCTCAGGCCCAGGTTTTGGTTTCTAAACTTTTATAAGTGTGGGGGAACCTGGAGAGGAACCCAAGATGAACAATAAATTCTTTAAAAAACTCTCCTTTGAGGAAAAGCTATGTGATCTGCTTGAGTTGACGCATTGAAGAGTGACTTCAGGAGTATCCACAAAACATAGAAAGGTGTTGGGAAGTTATTTCCACCTTTTTTTCCTCTCAGGTGCTGAGATTTGTAGAGAGAGTTGGCCTGGCAGCATCAGCACGAGGGTGATAGCCAACAAGTGGGCAGGTGGCCTCACTTAACTTCTCCGTAGTTATAGGGCGGGATTCTCCTGCTGCCGGTGAAATTAAGCTGCTGTTTTACCTGTAGCTGAGTGCCTTCCATCTTAGTCTTCCTTTTTAGGGCCTGAGGTGCAGGCTTGGTCTTATGCTTTGAGAGCTGGTGTCTCAAACCGAGATCTTTGTAGTCAAGGACTCGGATGTGGTGGCGTCAAGGAAGTTTCCTGTCTTGTAAGAAGCCTCTCAGGGGACTCTGTCCCCCAGGAAGAGAAGAATCACAGCATCCACACTCTCCAGTCCTGTGTAAACATCATGTGTTTGCATTGGGTTTTTCTTTATGATGTGCTTGTGTGTTTTTCTCACCCACATCTGGATGCGGCTCTTCCTGCCCATGGCAGCAATCACCCCTGCTCTCTTGTGTCCTCCCCACCCAGGCCAGTCTTCAGGGCCCTTATGGCTGAGAAGTCCTTAGGGCGAGCTCATTTTAGGGCTGCCTTTTTTGTTCCCATTAAAGGCTGTTTTTGCAGGGCGCGTGGGTGGCTCAGTTGTTAAACATCTGCCTTCGGCTCAGGTCATGATCCTGGGGTCCTGGGATCAGCCCCGCATCGGGCTCCCTGCTCAGCGGGGAGTCTGCTTCTCCCTCTCCCTCTGCTGTTCCCCTGCTTGTGTGCCCTCTCTGTGTCACTCTCTGTGAAATAAATCTTAAAAAAAAAAAGGCTGCCTTTGCAATCTGATGTTCCTCTAGGATCCGCTTTCATTACCTAACTTCTTTAAACTATGATTTTCTTTCAGCTCATCAAGGTGGCCTTGGAGAAGAGCCTGGCAGCCGTGGAGACCCAGAATGCATGTCTTCCCCCTCCTTCCTCAACAGGAGGGGACAGTCACAGAGGTCTTCAGGAGGAAATGCTCCACCTGAGGGCTGAGATCCACCAGCACTTAGAGGAGAAGAGGAGAGCTGAGGGGGAACTGAAGGAGCTAAAGGCTCAAATTGAGGAAGCAGGATTCTCCTCTGTTGCCCACATCAGGTAGGACACCGCCCAGAGGAGGAGAGCCTGCCCATCGAGAGGCCACTGGAGCCAAGGAGTTCACCCCACTGCAGTCAAGGCATTTGTGCTGCTGTAGGGCTTCTTGGTCCACCTGCCAAGCTCCATGCGTTAATGGTTCAAATTCTTTGGAGACAACTCAGTAATACTGGATAATGGTGATCATTCAAATGACTTAAATCTGGTCTTAATTCGGTATAATAGTGCCCATTATTAGCCACATAGTCACGAGTGAAAATCTCCCAGCTGTATGCCAGGTATTGCTCTTTTGCACTGACTGGAACATATTGAGGAAGGTCCTACTACCCATGATGCTTCACTGCTGCATGTGGAACCAGAATAGTCCATGAGGGAGGAGGATTTATACAGGGGCCCCTTCGTCTCCCCCAGCTCTCTCTTAACAGCATGAATCCCTAAATCATGGAATAGCAATTTTCATCATCTCTGCTGTTTTGTTAACTTTACAAAAGTGGCATATAGCTGATTCATTGGTTAGATTGGCCACTCTGTGTTTGTTTGTTTGTTTAAAGATTTTGTTTATTAACAGAGACACGGCGTGAGAGGGAACACAAGCAGGGGGAGTGGGAGAGGGAGAAGCAGGCCTCCCGCGGACTAGGGAGCCCGATGCGGGGCTCGATCCCAGGACCCTGGGATCATGACCTGAGCTGAAGGCAGACGCTCAACGACTGAGCCACCCAGGCTTCTCTGTGTTTGTTTGTTTGTTTGTTTTGTTTTTTTATTCATTTATTTGAGAGAGAGACAGAGATAGTGAGGGAACACAGGCGGGGAGGAGAGGGAGAAGCAGACTGCCTGCTGAGCAGGGAGCCTGACACAGGGCTCATACCTTAGCCGAAGGCAAATGCTTTTTTTTTTTTTTTTTAAGATTTTATTTATTCATTTGACAGAGAGAGACAGTGAGAGCAGGAACACAAGCAGGGGGAGTGGGAGAGGGAGAAGCAGGCCTCCCGCTGAGCAGGGAGCCCGATGTGGGACTCAATCCCAGGACCCTGGGATCATGACCTGAGCCGAAGGCAGACGCTTAGCGACTGAGCCACCCAGGCGCCCCTGAAGGCAGATGCTTAACCAACTGAGCTGCCCTGGCGTCCCTGGCCACTCTGTTTTTAATGGCATTTTTTCAAAAGATGCTTGGAGAACATGCTGATGATGTAGGGCTAATCTGTTCATTCATTCATTCATCCCTGAGGGTCATAATCATTGTGGGCCTGTTGTTTAGAACACAGCAATGCAAGTGTACAATTTCTAATTCATGCCCTATTGTTTCCCTGCCTATTAGGTGCCACTTAAACGTCCCCAAGTCATAGAATAATATTAGAGCTGAAAAGGACCTTGGCATGTAGCCTAATCCTTATTTCACAGTCAAGGAAAGCCCAGTCCAAAAAGTTCTAGCAACTTGCTCAAAGTTGCATATTAGTCTATGGCTAGACCCCTGCCTCCCAATTTTTAATATCTAAGCCTTTTCTTCTATGCTATATACTTTGTCGAACAATCTTGGAAATATTCTTGTGATCATCCTTCATGCTGGTTTTTTTTTTACTCTGAATTATCATGATATTTCTTTTTTCTTTTTTTTAAGAGAAAGAGTGAGCTAGAGCGTGCATGCAAGGAGGGGGAGGGGTAGAAGGAGAGGGAGAGAGAATCTTAAGCAGGCTCCATGCCTGGCACGGAGCCTGATGTGGGGCTCAATCTCACAACCCTGAGATCATGACCTGAGCTGAAATCAAGAGTCAGATGCTTGACCGACTGAGTCACCCAGGCACTCCCATGATATTTCTTTCTACTGAAGTGAAATTCTACTTAAGTGAAAGCATAAGTTGTTTTTAAACAAGCTCTATGCCCAGCGTGGGGCTTGAACTCACAACCTCAAGATCAAGAGTCGCATGGTCTACTGACTGAGCCAGCCAATTCAGGATTCTAAGACACCCAATCTAGGGAGATACCCACCTGCTAATCCTTCCAGGTGTGAATTACTAGTCCCCCTTGCCTCTTCTAGTCAGCAGTTCTCAATTTAGCATGCTTAAGGATCAGCTGCAGAACTTAAGTAAAATGTAGATCCATAGGCCTTAGCTCTAAAGTTTTTTTGTTTTTTTTAACAAGCACCTCATAGGATTCTGATGTTAGTACTTTTCAGGTCTGCAGCTGGTACAGCAGAATAAAATGATCCTCTGCTGCAGACCCTGAGCTGACCGGCCATATATGCAATTTCATTTAAGCATCCAGTGACTCCACTGGGTACGGGTTATCCTTATTTTATATAAAAGGAGACGGAGGCTCAAAGAGGTTAAGTGAACTGCCTATTTAAATGAATTGCCTTGTTAAAGCCATGTTTTTGGGTTTTTTTTTTTTTTATCACTTCCATCCAACCCTGGTGAAGGGTTTGGTGGGAAGAAAGGATGGAGTCTAGGATGTCTTGGTGAAAATTAGTTGTTTATCCATTTTATTTCTTCTACAAGTATGAATGTTTTTTGTGGTAGGCACTGTGAAGGCTCTGGGGATACAGGGTGAACAGGACAGAGAGTCCCTGACCTCATAAAGATGATCTATCACAAGAGCCAGACATAAAGCAAATAATTACAGAAGTACATTTGATTGTAGTTCTGATTGGTATTATTTATTTCTTATTTTCCTAGGTCCCAATTTCTCATCCAGTGGTTGAAAACTGACCAATGATAATTAATAGAATTGTAGAACCCATAATAAATTTGTCCCAGGCAAGGTCTTCCTTATTTTTTTTTCTTAACACTGTAAGTACCCTTGTTTATTCCAGAGGCCACTGAAAATTAGAACATGAGGCTGAGGGGGCACCTGGGTGGCTCAGTCGGTTGAGCTTCTGCCTTTGACTCGGGTCATGATCTCAGGGTTCTGGGATCGAGTCCTGTGTTGGGCTCCCTGCTCAGCGGGGAGCCTGCTTCTCCTTCTCCCTCTGCCTGCCGCTACTTGTGTTCTCTTTCTCTCTCTCTCTCACTCAAATAAATAAAATCTTAAAAAAAAAAATGAGGCTGAATGACCAAAGACAACTAGACCAGGTGTGTTGAGTCCAAGATTTTTAGGGATTGTGTTGCCACCAAGTAGCTGTGGTAGTGTGGGCAAGTCTCCCTGAGTTTTGGTTTCCTTGTCTATAAAATAAGGGAGCCCTTGTTGGTCTCTGAAGTTGCTTCACGTTTTGGGGTGTCTCTGAGTCTCTGCTGGACCAAGATGGGAGCTACAGGAATTGAGGCCGAGAGAGGAGCCAGCCCCTCATTGTGTGTGTGTGTGTGTGTGTGTGTATTTCCTGCAGGAACACCATGCTGAGCCTTTGCCTTGAGAATGCAGAGCTGAAAGAGCAGATGGGAGAAGCAATGTCTGATGGATGGGAGATTGAGGAAGACAAGGAGAAGGGCGAGGTGACAGTGGAAACTGTGGTAGCCAGAGGGGGTCTGAATGAGAATAGCCTTCAGGCTGAGTTCAGAAAGCTCCAGGGAAAACTGAAGAATGCTCACAACATCATCAACCTCCTCAAAGAACAGCTGGTGCTGAGCAGCAAGGACGGGAATAGTAAGCTTAGTCCAGAGCTCCTTGCGCCCCTGGCCCGGGAGATCGACAGAATGAACACAGAGCTGGTCTGTTCTGAGAAGCCCCAACACCAAGAAGAGGAGCACGTGACCATAAGGCCCTGCCCCAGACCCCAGAGCCTTGACCTTGGGACTACCCTCACCGCGGATGGCCACCAAGTAAGTGTGGGATCAGAGGGAATGAAAGACCTGTGGAGAAGGGCTGGAGGTAACAGTTCTGCCCCCGTGGGTCAGAAGGGACTGAGACAAGGGCACCTTTGCCCGCCAAGTAGTGGTAATAACGGTCCTCACACGTTCAGCCTTTAGAAAAGTTTTTACAGCGTTATCTCATAAATATTTCTTGGGTAATTAATTTTTCATAAATATTTCTTCAGTGCTTAATTTTCCAGATAACACACCAGGCACTGGGCAGAAGGCAGCAAGCCCTGGTCTCTGCCCCATAAGTACTCAGTACAGTGGGGAAAGATGGCACAAAACAGATCATTTCAATGGGATGCTTATAGGGATGCCTGGGGGTTAAGGCAGCCCAGACAAGTGGTGTGTCATGACATCTCTCCTTATCACTGCCATTTTCGTCACAGCTCGTCCCAGGTGTCTGTTCCTGAGCCACAGGAAGGGCTATTGGGATCCTCATAAGGGGAGGGGCTCTGCTGAGTATTGAGTAAACGGAGAATATAGAGGATTCGGGGGCTGGGGACAAGGGTGGGGCAGGAGCACAGGGAGAGATGAGGAGAGGTTTCTAGCCCCCCTCTTTTCAACCCCTGAACCAGTGTTTACTGAGAGCTTCTCAGTGGACTCTACTGGCACTGTACTATGTGCTGTAGATACAGAGATGAATAAAACATTATCCTAGCTCTGCAGGAGCTCAGAGCTGGAAAGCAAGCCACTACCAAATGGCGTGAGGAATGCTGTAACGAACCCATGAATAAAGTCCACAGGGTTCAGAAAGGGAAGGGGCCGTGACTGCCTGGTCCCTGTGCTGGCTCTTTTCACAGCTGGATAACCCGTCCCAGGCCCGAGACCCTGGGCCTCAGTCAGAATTTAGCCTTCCCGGATCCACCAAGCACCTGCGCTCCCAGCTGGCTCAATGCAGACAACGCTATCAGGATCTCCAGGAGAAGCTGCTGATATCAGAAGCCACGGTCTTTGCCCAGGCCAACCAGCTGGAGAAATACAGAGTCATGCTTAGTAAGTCTTAGGTTCACCATCACCAGGGCGTCTGTCTTCTCCCTGAGAAGCTACATGCTTTACAGACTTCCCTTTTCTTTCCCAGCCTCAAAACAAATTTAATCCTGACCAGGGTCCTAGAACTGTGGAAATGGATATTTAACTTCAGTTTTTGCACCTGGCAGAGAAGAATAAAGAGCAAAGCAAGTTTGCAGTGAGCATACAGAGAGGAAATGGGCCAACATCTAGGTTTGCTGATTTCTGGTATAGTCAGCAAAATGCTTTACATCTCTCAACATATACTGATGGTTTCTCTCTTCCTCTTGGCACCAAATCATATTCTTCAAAAATACATCCTCACCATTGGTTTAGAATCCATGCTTTTGAATAGAACTTCCTGCGGTGATGGAAATGCTTATGAAGCACCTGAAATGTGGCTAGTTCACCTTGGGAGTTTTATTTAATTTTAATTAATTTAAAATGAGGTAGTCACATTTGGCTAGTAGCTATCTTATAGAACAGTATGGAGCTCGATGTTTCAGGACTCTAAATTAGTTCAGCCCCATTCACGTATTTACTGAGCCTCTGTGGATAAAGCCCTTGCTAGTTTCACTGGGGCTTCTAGGGATGATAATATATATAATACCCAACTTAAAGATGTCTGGCCCCCACAAAACCTCAGTTGCTGTAGTGAGATCATCAGTGGCAAACATGGGCTCATCCTGGCGGACGAAGTCCGGTCTGGAGCGGGTGGTCTCTTCTCCCACTTGAGTCCAAAGAAGCATCCATCGCGCTCTGCCTTTGACCTCCCTGCCCCCTGAGGGCTAAGGCATGTGCCACTGAGGTTGAGGGGGTATGTGGGACCTTCAGAGGCTCTGTGACACCCTCTGTCTCTTCCCGAGCAGGTGAGTCCTTGGTGAAGCAGGACAGCAAGCAGGTGCAAGTGGACCTCCAGGATCTGGGCTATGAGACCTGCGGCCGAAGTGAGAATGAAGCTGAGCGGGAGGAGAGCACCAGTCCCGGTAGGAACACGAGGGCAGGGCTCACCGGGCCTCCCTGGCGTCGGCCTTCATATCCAGCAGCTGCCGGCCAGTCCCACACCTGAGGAGGGGTAGGGCTGAGCGGTTATTGTAGACTGAAGGGGACCCAGGACCAGTGAGGCACAGGAAGCTTGGCAGAGAACTCTTGTCCAACACGAGGCTGAGTGTGAGCTGGAACGTCTCTAATTAGTTTTCAACATACTGCTGTTAATTAAAAGAAGAAAAGTTTTATCCAACAGATGACCATCTAAGGCCGACTTTTTAAGGAAGAGACCAGATGAGCTTTTGCAGATATGCAAACCCTAAGCTAAAAAACCTGTTTTTCCGTCATAGAAGGACTTTGACTGTAGGGACACCCACCAAACTGAAATGGAGAAAAGAGAAAACACTTAGTGCAGTAGAAGGTGACTGTACCTGACCTGCAGGGCTGTTGGGATAAGAAATACCATGTTTGAACGCTAGTAAAGCACAGGGCTGAATAAAGTAACCACCTCAACTTCTGCTCTAGTAATTCCTATCCCCAGCACCAGGGCTACCTCCAGCTACTGCAGCGGGAGAGGCGTAGCTTTATTCAGGGAGATGTCTTTGTCTTTTCTCAGAGTGTGAGGAGCACGACAGCCTCAGGGAAACAGCCCTGGTGGAGGGGCGCCTGGGCTCACCAGCGGCCAGCCCCCCGGGGACGAAGCCCTTGGACAGCCCTCGAGGGAACCAGGAGGAGTTCCAGGCATCTGGAAAGTCGGAAGACATCTCTGTCCTACGTAAGGACATCAGAGACCTGAAGGCCCAGCTGCAGAATGCCAACAAGATCATTCAAAACCTCAAGAGCCGGGTCCGGTCCCTCTCGGTTACAAGTGACTATTCGTCTAGTCTGGAGAGACCGCGAAAGCTGAAGGCCATTGGCACCCTCGAGGGATCTTCACCTCATAGTGTCACTGACGAGGATGAGGGGTGGCTGTCTGATGGTACTGGAGCTTTCTACCCCCCGGGGCTTCGGGCTAAAAAGGATCTGGAGAGTCTGATCCAGAGAGTGTCCCAGCTGGAGGCCCAGCTCCTGAAAACTGGAGTGGAAGGGAAGCTGGCAGAGGAGCTGAGATCAGCCTCATGGCCTGGGTAAGGGGGGCACTCTTTGGACCCTTATTTGGTTGGTGACGTCTAAGTTTGTGTTGGAGGTGAGCTAGCCCAGGCAGGTAGAAGAGAGAATCCATTGGGGCGATCAGAAGAGCGCCTACTTAAATGCTAGGCCTAGATCCGAAGAAAAGGTCAGTAGGCCCTGCTGGGAGACACCAGTCTCTGGGATTTCCTCTCAGGAATCTATTAGAAAAGCGACCGGATAGGTGGTGTAGCAGGAAGACTGGAGCCAGACTGCCTGGGTCTGAATCCTAGCTCTGGCACTTTCTAGCCATACAACTTACTTAGACTTTCTGGGCCTCTTTCCTTACCTATTAAATGAGGAGAGTAAGAGAACCTATCTCAATGGGTGGTTATTGGATTTAAGTGAATTACTACAAGTGCTTATAATTGCCTAACATACATTCAGCTCTCAGTACTACTTACATAACTGTTACTGTTACTGATACTTTGTGTTGAAAAACACTGGGTAGACTTCTATCTGCGTATCTGTCCTTGTTATCTGCACTGAGTATCAAACCATCCAAAAGCTTAGTGGCCTCAAACAATAATTTATGTGGATTGACGGGGCTCGGCAGGATGGCTCTCGCTTGCGGGGGGGTGGGGGGGTGGTCTCTCCTGGGACTGCCATCCGATGGTGGCTGGTGCCGGACATAGCTTCTTCCTTCACGTATCTGGAGATGTGGTGCTCCTTGGCTTCTCTCTTTCCCCCGTGGCTTCTTGTCTTCCAGGGTCTTTCTTCCTGGGATGGGCCTCTCATGGGATGGTGGTCTCAAGGGTAGTTCTACTTCTACATGACAGCTGGCTTCCAACAGACAGGAAGTAGATGTTGCCAGGACAGTTAAGAGCTACTCCTGTTCTTCGCACAGTGTCACTTCCATCATTATCTCGGTCACAGTGGTCACAGAGCTTGCCCACATTTAAGGAGGTGGAGAATAGCTTCTACCTGCTAATGAGAGAAGGGGCAAAGGCACATTGCGAAACATCGTGTGGCACAGGAACTTGCGTAGTGGTCATGTTGGCAAAATACAGTCTGCCGTAATATAGATGGTCTTCCAAATAGAAGGCATTAAAGAGCCTATCTAGACTTAGGATTAAGTGATTCTTCCCCCCCCCCCCGCCCCCCGCCCAAGTTTATATATTTATTTATTTTACGTAATCTCTCCACCCAACGTGGGGCTTGAACTCCTGACCCTGATATCAAGAGTCACGTGCTCTTCCAACTGAGCCAGCCAGGTGTCCCAGGATTGATTCTAATCACTGAATTTATTTTTATTTATTGTGTTTATTGAGTATCTACTCAGTAAATACATTTAGTGTTTCTTGAGTATCAACTGTGAATCTACACTCTACTAGTCCTGTGAGGAATGTAAAATTTGGCACCGTATTTACCTCCACAGGACTTAGGATTCTCCTGGATGTCTGACTAACATATATAAAACAGTGTAAGAACAATGGCACACTAAATTGATGTCATGTATTAGAGTAGGATTTACTCTTAAATACCTTCTTTGGTCTCTGTGCCAGAATTCAGCCTGGGGGAGCTCCTTAGAGATGTTCTCACGAAAATCTCTACCGAAGGCCTATAATTTAACATTCACTCGTTTTCATTCTTACTTTTTCCTCTTGTTTCCTGTATTAGGAAATATGATTCCCTGATTCAGGATCAGGCCCGAGAGCTGTCATACCTACGCCAGAAGATACGAGAAGGGAGAGGTATCTGTTATCTTCTCACCCAGCATGCAAAAGATACAGTAAAATCTTTTGAGGACCTTCTTAGGAGCAATGACATTGACTACTACCTGGGGCAGAGCTTCCGGGAGCAGCTCGCCCAGGGAAGCCAGCTGACAGAGAGGCTTACCAGCAAACTCAGCACCAGTAAGTTGGCCACAGGGCTTTAGCACACACTCGGTCACTCCCACAGCCCCAGGCCCAGGTGGCCACCACAGCTCCAGCACGGCCTTTTAACCCAGGGTCCTGCTTCCATTTCATTTCCTGGGGCCATTACAGGATCAGGACTGGGGAGCATTGAGGAGGAACACAGGGTTGGGGAGGTCATGATTGCAGTGGCAGAAACTGGAGCACTTGTGGCAAGTGACCTTAGGGAAGCAGGCTGTGTCCATTCAGTGCTAAGGGGGAGAAAGGGAGAAGAGATCGGAGGACCTTATCATAGTGAAAAGAGCCTGACCTGAGAATTGCAAGACCCAAGCGGTGGCCTAGATGCCGCCATTAGCTTGCTTTGGGCAATGGCTTAGCCTTTCAGTGTCTGTCTCTTTGTTTATTGTGTGGTGTCATACATGAATATAATCCCAATATGGGTAAAGCACCCTTCCTTTGGACATGATTTGGACATTGAATGTCATAGTGCAAGGGCCAGGAATATTGGTTATTATTGGAGCTCTTTACTTAGAAAACATTTCCTGAGAGTACCCGAAGGCAGGATCAGTCTTGGGGGCCAACCATCCCACATGCTGGTGGCAGGTGCAGAGGTGGGACAGGGCGTTTGTCATTTCCTCAGAGCAAGAGTGGGTTCTACATGAATGCTGTGATGGGACACAGAGCATGCATCTGGGAGTCAGTCTGTGGCAGGCTTGGAAGCTGGAATGTTCCAGAGAGAAGCTGGGCAAGTGCCTTTTAAACTTCTTTGCATTGATTTAGGGCAGAGGAAGTCATGATGCTGATCACCCAGTCAGGGGAGGTCTGCTGGTGAGCTCAAGAGAGCCTACAGGTCTCCCCTCTGAGGATACAATCTGCAGCCTTCCCAAGTAATTCTCCTACATGTCCTGGACATACACAGAGGAGTTACCGTTCTGTACCCACAGAGGCTCTTGCGTTTATAATGTGGGAAGTGGGACTGGTTTAATTTCTTACCATTTCTTTCTGATTTTGGCTTGCAGAGGATCATAAAAGTGAGAAAGATCAAGCTGGAATTGAACCGCTGGCTCTCAGGTAATTTGAAATAGGATCTGGTAAAGGAATCAGGAACAAGGCCCAAGGGGTCCAGGGTGACTGTAACTTTACAAATGAGGGCGGGGAAGTGCTGATTATAATGAATTCATTTATTCATAAAACACCTTAGCCTAATTCTTTACTCTCTTTTGCTGTAATTCTGTTGATTTCTATTTGCGTATTTATTCTCCAGGCTTGGTAACCTAAAGTCAGTCTGACCCAACGGTAAACTAACCAGGTTCCAGGGGTCCTTGGCACCCCCAAGGTTCTCCTCTGCTTTCTTCCTTTGTGCTACTAAGTTGGCTTACCCTGAGTTGAGTTGGCAGCTAGTTTAATAATCGTCCAATTTCCTTGGGGGGCGGGGGGGGGGCGGGAAGAATCAAAGAACCACAGTACAGTTCCTAGGAGGGGAAAGGCCTGGATGTTGCAGATGCCTGGTAGGCTACACAGCGTCTCAGGAACCAGTTTTCAATGAGTCACTGCATCTAATCTTATCGCGTGCAGTAAAATATGGGCTCAAAATCCACTGTGGCCACTAGTTCAAACCCCTCTGTGTTGGGAGTGTGCTTTAGACCACATAGTGCTTCTCAGAATACTGTGGTGAAGAGCAAAGTGTTTTGGTTTTGTTTCCATTTCCAATCCATCACAGACACATACATGGGCTGTACCCTCAGTCAACCAGATGATTCCACACGTCCTGCTCTTGGTTGTCAGTGGCAATGCCGAGCTGCTGTATGTTTCTCACTGCTTACCTTCAGTTACTGTACTTATCTTCTTGGAGACTGGTAACCAACAGTTCTTGGACTGCAGCTCTGCTGGGGCCACACTTGGAGCAGCTGTGCCTCAGAGGGCTGGCTGAGTCTCCACTAGTTCCCAGCATCGCCCGTGGCCAGTGCCCTGGGTGGCGACTGCACCTCCTCCTCCCTCTGCACCCCACCTACCCTCTGCCCCTAATCAGCGATAGACTGTTTTGATCATCCTTTGCAGGAATGTTTCCCTTGACTTCTGTGGCTTTTCCCGTGTGCCTCAGTCAGGACCAGTTGGTCCGGTGACCTTGGCTTCACCTGTTGTCCCCCTTCACCCCACTAGGCTCAGCAGGGAGCTGCAGGAGAAGGAGAAAGTGATTGAAGTCCTGCAGGCCAAGCTGGATGCCCGGTCCCTCACGCCCTCCAGCAGCCATGCCTTGTCGGACTCCCAGCGCTCTCCCAGCAGCTCCTCCTTCCTGTCTGATGAGCTGGAAGCCTGCTCTGACATGGATGTAGCCAGCGAGTACACACACTATGAAGAGAAGAAGGCTCTGCCTGGTCACTCAGGTAGCCCCCACTGTCTGAGCGGTACCACTTTTCTCTAGGTGGAGAGGAGACGTCCATAGCCAGACCTTGTAGATCCATCTTGGTGTGTATCAGGCTTGAACGTGGCTGTGGGACCAAGCACCAAGCACAGGCCCCAGAGGCTCAGGATCTTTGCTCTGCTCCTGACTCCGCAAGGTGTCACTGGGTCTCCACCGGATGTGCATGCTGGTAGACCCAAGGGGAGCCACGGTGGGAAGAGGGAGAAGATCCTAGCAGACTTTTCTTCCCTGCTGCCTCATGAGCACAGACTGTCTGACTGACCTCCTTCTTAAAACGGGACATCTTCTTCCTCCTGCAGTGGTCCTGCTCACTGCGTGTCCTGAGCCAGTATCCCCTGAGTATCTGTCAGTGGTCGCAGATGCTGTTGGTCCCGCCTGGTATTTTTGGAAACGCCATTTTCACGGTTTCCGGGTCTGGGCCCCACTCTCACCTCAAAGGTAGTTTGCCTCACTCAGGAAGCTCTCTGCAAGCAAGGAAATGAACACTGCTCACAGTGCTTGTGCTTGGTGCTTTCCCAGAAAGCACGGCTCTGCCTTGGTACCCCTGGCTGAATATAAGGCCAGATTCCAGTTCTTTGTTGACCACCCAACATTTTCTTTCATTCATGGGTTTTGTAGATTCCATCCATCATTCGAGTCATTCCGCTGTCCTGTCTCCTAAGCCATCAGCAACCAGTGCACCTCAGGGGGTTAAGGCCGAACCCAGCAGCAGCCCCATCAGCTTGCCAGCTCCCCAGAACCCCCCCCAGGAGGCCAGCCAGGCCCATCCAGGTATGCGACAGCCAACATGGCAGGAGCTCTGTCTCCTCTCTCTCAGCAGCCTGTATGACTTTTCTTCAGGGACGAATGTTTCCCCTGTCAGGGGCTTCTATGCATCAACCCCTAGACGAAATCAAAAGGCCATCCTAGTTCACCAATTGTGTCTGCATGTTCTTTGTTTTAAATATTTTAGACAAATCAGAGATCTGCAACAGACTTTGATCTGCATACCAATTTTGACCAGGAGTTGGTGAATCATTTTAAAGTAAACATTTTCCTTTGTTTCTTTCATTTCACTCTGGGGAGCAAAGAGGCAAAATGTTTCTCCCAGGATTATAGTAGCCACAGAACAAAAAGAAAGTCACTCCTACTGCTCGCCTGTAGGCATTACCCATTCTATCTGCGTGGTGAGCCTCTGCAGCAGCTCAGGATGCTTCAGTGTTCTACAAGATGCTGTTCATGTTGTTGTAATGCAATTACATATGATCATTCATGGATTTATGAATAGGTGGGCAGCCCTTGATATGTACATAGTGCGTATCCTGCAGCCAGTTGGAGGGGTACATTTCATTTGCCTGCCCCAACCTAGTCGCCAGGGGTTGTGCTGTTCAGTTAGAGCCCCGCACCAGTGATGGCAGGGCAAAGGCAAACTTTGTCCTCGCCTCCTACCTCCTGCCACCACTGGCTGGCTGCCTTCAGTGTGGTTGGTGGTAAGGTGCCTGCAGAAAGCAAAGTGCTTTCCTTCTGCTGCCCCCGTCTCTCCAGAGAACAAGTCAACCAACATCTTAAGAAGGGGGTGTGTCTGACTCTGAGCTGGGGCTCAAAGTTTCTGGGCCAGAGTAGGCAGCTGCTGGCCCAGGAAGTCATGGGGAAAAGCTATTTGCCTAGCACTATAGACATATCTGTAAATGCTTTGGGGTCAAACAGAGCAGAAGGCCAGGGGTTTTAAAATCAGAACACTTCCCTGAAGGATGCCTGGCCTGTGTTGCTTGGCAACGTGGGGGTCCTTGCCACGCTGTTCTTTGAGGGTGTCAGCATCCCGGGGTGAGGGGTGTGAGTAGAATGTATTCATTGTCTTTCACGGGAGGCGTCCTCCACAGGCCAGTCTTGGTTTCTGCTCCCTCCATAGGCTACCTGCCATATAACTGTTTTTAGGAAAGAGGAGACAGATTCAAACATCAGAACATCCCAGGGTCCCTAAAGACCTGTCCGTAGATGGTCCGCATCATGGTCGTCTGTGAAGATTTATTTTAAATGCAAATTTCCAAGCCCTCCTCCCAAAGTTTATGACTTAGTAGATCAGGGCCTGAAGAATCTGCATGTATTAAGAATTTTTCCTAAGTGATTTGAGCGCCCAGACAGGCATGCAAGCTACCGTGTCTGAGTCACTTCACCAAGACCTTTATTTTTCATTTGGTGAATGAACCCATGGATTTGCAATTCTGAGGTTTGTTTCCATGAGATTCTTGAATTACATGCGTGAGGAATGCACATTTCCCCGCAGTCCTAGCCACTCCTGCCCTCCTCAGGGTGAGCCCTCATGCTCTCAGAGGGGTTCTAGGTGTAGGGAGTCTTGTCAGAGGGGTAAGGACCGACTCATGCCCAGGGGGGCTTGGGAGCATCGAGGCGCAGCCGTCCTGACCTATCCGTGCCTGGGATAGCTGCCTGGGGTACAGTTATGCCACCTTGCCTTAGAATATGTATGCCGGATATCCCTGACAAGGGAGAAGGCGGAGGGGTCAGCTAACATTGGGTAACAATGCTTGCCCTTCGCCTTGTCAGCCCCACCACGCTGAACAATAGCCATCCCCCAGGGAGACATCTGGACAAGAAATAGTTTCATCTTCTCCATCTTTTCCCCATTCCTTTCTCTCATTTTCTTTCTAATGACGTGTCTCCTTTCTTCCCAACTCTGTGTTTCTAGGCCTTCATTTTCCCTCCATACCCACGCTGGTTAGCCTTCCCCAGGCGCCACTGCCCTCAGCTCCACCCAGCTTCCTGCCTTTCAGCCCCACTGGCCCTCCCCTCCATGGCTGCTGTGAGACACCCATGGTCTCCTTGGCAGAGGCTCAGCAGGAGCTGCAGATGCTGCAGAAACAGTTGGGAGAAAGTGAGCACTTCCTGCTGCACGTGTGTGCTTGGGCATGGCAGCCCCGCCCTGTGTGGCTCTGCATGGCTTCGGCTTGGTGGCAGAGTTTTAAAAACGACATGGGGTGTGCACACCGCCAGGGGATGATTGACGGATGGCCCTGCTTGCTTTTTTTGGAAATATATTTACTGTTGTCTTTCTGGTGTGTGTGTGTCTCATCGGTTCCTCAGGCCCTAGACCTGCTCCTTTCCCACTGCTGACAGCGTGGGTTGCCACCAAGTATGCTGAAGGCCTGACACGCCTGTGACGTGTTTGTGGGCAGGGCAGGGTACAGGTGAGAGCTTCTGGGCCTTGCCTATGCGAGACAAAGTGGCCACTATTCCGGGAATCCTTTCCATCCCTGTGATATTCTCCTGCTGTGAAAAAACGCTCTTTGTCCAGTTCAGATCCTGACCTCATCAGGTTGAGGATTCAGGTGACTAAGCCTCTCTTCCTACAGCGCAAGGGTCACTCTTACCCCTGGACAGGTGACACGGGGATGGCTGGAACTGGAAGTACAGGCTGTGCTACCTGATTGTAAATTCTGTCCTCTTACTTCCCAGAGATCAGTGGATCGTGTCAGTTACAGACTATGTACAGTCATCTTTTTGGAATATATGTCGGAGCTGGATGCCTCATCATAAAAACCGTGTGTGTGATCAATTATAGCTTAGAAAAAAATAAAACCCTCACATGAGGAATTTGCTTTCTAGTAATGCTTAAAAAAAAAAACACAAAAACCTAGAAATCAGTTTGATGTTACCTTAAAACAACATTCTGTGCCTTTGAAAAAAAAAAACAAAACAAAACTACTCAGGTGAGCCAAAGACTGATGGTAAGGGTCACCAGGCACAATGTCCAGTGACCTAGGCCCACAGCCGAGAGTTCACATACCTGAAGCCCCCATTGTCATTTACCCCAGCTTATTTCTTTTGTCACCCCTGAAAATGAATACACTGTCTAGTCTACTCTGTCCTAGTTTGATTCCCAGAACCAATTAGATGAGACCCTTTTTAGGAGAGTTTGTACATCTTCCATTTTTGCAGGCAGTGAAGTCTAGAAGACTGCCTCTTGCGTATCACAGCTTTATGCAGGTGTGGCAATCTAGGCTTACCCAGCAACACGAACCCGGTCTCACCTGAGCCTCACACCACTTGCGTGATAGGTAGAGCCTGAGCAGGGAACGAAGTCTCAGGGAAGTAGAGCTACTTGTTGTAAGAGGGAGAGATGGGCTTGAATCCGGGTCTTCTGCTCCCAGTCCTGTGTTTCCATGATACTTTTTCTGTCTAGGATGGTTTTGTTACCATCCTGCTCTGAGCTAAGCTCAACAAATTCTGGAAGCCCCTTGTAACAATCTTTTCTCTTTCCCTTTAGAGATCAGTAGAAGGTTCTGATGTCTCTGACCTAGAACTTATTATTTTAGCAATTCTGGAACCAACAGTTGATGGATAACAAATTTGTCCCATATCAAAATGGCAAGAGTGTGCTCTATCTTACTTTTCCTTTACCTTTCCATATTTGTGATGCCTTTGTCCAAAAGGAAAGACAGAAGGAGATATCTGTGCATGAAAAAGGGTCTGGGTATGATATGGGTTGAAGTCCTATCTAGTCTGAGCCACTGACCAGAGTTTGGATGGTCCCAGCTTTGGTGAACAAGATTATAGCCCTGTCTTGTCCGTCCGTCCTGAAGCACAGTCCTCTCTGAGGAACTACAGCTTACCAGTGTTCCTTGTTTGCTTTGAACCAAGCTTCCACGTGGACAGTGGTGCATGGCGGCTTCTTAGGTAACTGTGGGGCAAAGATCTCCTTGTGCTAGAGTCTGTCCGGTGTCTTTGCATGGTTCAGGGCATGTGCTCTCTGTTGTGTGGCCAGGGCAAACTGGAACATGAGAATACTGATCTCTGTTACTGATAGACTTGGAACCTTCTACGACTTTGGTTAAAAAGTAAGCTATCGACAGCCCCTGATTTCCCCCTTTGCCTTGTGTTGGGCTGGGGAGGAAGGGGGTGTGAAAGAGGTAGGAAATAACATCTTTACTGAATCCCAACTAAAATTTAGATGCTGAGGGGCACGTGGGTAGTTCAGTTGGTTAGGCATCCGATTCTTGATCTCAGCTCAGGTCTTGATCTCAGGGTCGGGAGTTCAAGCCCCACCTTGGGCTCCACGCTGGGCATGGAGCCTACTTAAAAAAAAATTCAGATGCTGACATTTTTCATCCCCCTCTTTAACTCCCAGTGATCCTAATGAACATTTAGTATTTTGCAAATTGGGGAAGGAGAGACCCATGACAGTATTTCTCAAATTTTGCTGCCTATTTGAATCACCTGGGATGATTTTAAAACATCCAGTGCCCAAGCTGTACCCCCAGTTAAGGCAAAATCTCTAGGAGGTCCAGGCATCAGTATATATTTGCTTACATTTTCCAAGGTGATTCTAGTATATAGCCAGATTTGAGAACCAGTTATAAATGGAGATAAAAATTGACAAGTGCCAATTTCATTATCCCCTCAGGGAATTTGGCTTGGTTGGAGGGAATGATGACCTCTTCCTCTGTGCTTAGGTTGAGCTACCTGTTTACTCTGCTGCCCATGCTGATAATCCCTGAAAGAAAGCAGTCTTCTGAATATGAATATCCTAAACTACAGTCCTGCCCACCTCTCTCTGTCTCTCCCACGGGCTGAACTTCTTTTTACATAGAAGCAGAGATGATTTGGCTCAGGGGAAGGCCCATGATTTCCTAAGATCTATGAAAGTGTCAGCCTAAGTTAAATGAAAGGTCCTACATCCCTCCATGGATGCTAGCACTGAGCACATCTGTGAATAGGAATGTGCTATATCCCCTGAAATTAGGACTGAGTTCTCTTTCTGGAACTTTCCTGGACTCTATCAGGAGGAATTATAGTAGAAGGCAGGAGTGGGGCCACTGGACTTTTCCTTTGTGTACACTGGTGACTTTCAGATACTTTATCCATCCTCTGCCTCTTGGAGTCTCATGCCAGCAAATACATGGGGTAAAAGCTACAGCCTATAGGTTATGGTCTTCATCTAATTGGTATTCTGCAATGGACTGGGATCTCCGACATTGCACATGTCCCCTTTAGTGTCCATTCTTAACAATCCCACAGTTCTTTGCTGGTCCTTCCCTTCTAATCCTCTCTTCCTCACTCCGGTTTTTTTCTGCCCAGGTGTCAGCACTGTCCATCCTGCTTCCCCAGCTGCATTGCCAAGCAACCATTTAGAAGCCAGTTCTTCCCACTATCTCAACGCCGCCCAGCCCCACTCTCCTCTGAGGGGCAGCGCAGAACTGGGCAGAATCCTGGAGCCCAGCTACCTGGGCAGCAGCAGCCAGTGGGATGTGATGAGGCCTCAGAAAGGGAGTGTATCAGGCGACCTGTCCTCAGGATCCTCTGTGTGTCAGCTTAACTCCAAACCCACAGGTAAAACACAAAGCCGGGCAGGTCAGCCTGTGAGATGAAATCTCATTTATAGAGTCTACCCCTCTCCTACCTGGGCAGGGGCATTTTTCATTTCTCTAGTCCCCAGCTCACACAGTGGGGGTAAAATGAAAGGGTCCTATCCGTGCTGGACCTTTCTAAGTGCCCCCATTTGGCCTCCCTGCCCAGGGCCTCAGTGCTGTTCAGGGGACTGGGAAAGTCAGGGACCCAATTGTGCTCTCACGTTCATGTCATTAACCACATAGGAGAAGTTTATATTCATGGACTTTTACCTTATGCCTCCTCTCTGAGGCTGGAGGAAGTGCTTGATGCCTCGTTAAAGAATGTTCAGTCAAGAATCAGTAAGAGGAATGGTATCAGGGTAGAGTGAGGTCTTCTCTAACACACTCAGGAGAGAAAGTCACACTCAGGTCACCACACCTTTCCAGATACTTCAGTTACTTTTCTAAACCATGTGGAACTCCCTCACACTCACCAGTTACACTGGTCACTGCACACTTTTATTTAAGACTCCATCACACTTTGGGGCGCCTGGGTGGCTCAGTCGGTTAAGCATCTGCCTTCGGCTCAGGTCATGATCTCAGGGTCCTGGGATTAAGTCCCCCATCGGGCTCCCTGCCCAGTGGGGAGCCTGCTTCTCCCTCTCCCTCAGCCCCTCCCCCCACCCCTGCTCATGCTCTCTCTCTCTCTCTCTCTCTCAAATAAATAAATAAAATTTAAAACTCTGTCACACTTACTGTGTGTAGGAGGAGGCCACGGGGGCATGCTTCACGCCGGGCTGTCCTGGGTTTGAGAGCCAGTTTACTCTTTAAGTGAAGTCACTGTGTTCCTGAGTGCCCATGTGAGAGAATGCAGTTGGTGGAAGGATGGGGATGTTCAGGGATCCTGCTGAGGAGCCACTGGCCAAGCCCCATCCCCACCTGGGCCCCACTGGTGACCAGGATTCCCTATCTCCCACCTCCTTCCTGTCCTGGCGGGATGGCTGCAGGGGCTGACCTGCTAGAAGAACATCTTGGTGAGATCCGGAACCTGCGCCAGCGTCTGGAGGAGTCCATCTGCATCAATGACCGCCTCCGGGAGCAGCTCGAACACCGGCTCAGCTGTGCAGCCCGTGGGAACGGTAGGAGAGGCCCAGAGCCCCCCCTTCTGTCACGACTGGGGAACTTCTGAAGGGAGGGCCCTTAGGCTGAGCGGCACGTTTTTCAAAGCACCTGCCAGGCTTTCCTCTACTTGCTCCTTCCACACAGCCCGGCAAGGCGGGTGGGGCAGGTCCTCTAATCCTCACTTTGTAGATAGACTGGAGCGAAGAGAGAACTTTCCTCCTGGCAGAACTAACAAGGTGTGTCCGCAGAGTGTCTGACTTCTCATCCCATCCTTAATCCGCTCGTATAAGTGCCTGCTGACCTCTCCGTGCCTTGTCGTGGGATCGGCAGGTGGTAGAGCCAGGTCAGCGGGCGCCCTCCCCCAGCCACTTGCCGAGGTGGCCTTTCTCCCGACACTGTCCTCTCAGGCTGCTGTCGCTTGGAGGCCGTTCCCTGTACACGCCCGTGTCCTGCCCGCAGCACACCTGCTGCTATTGCGGGGCAAGAGCCCCTGGAACCGTTGCAGCTAGGGCACGTGGTGGGGCCCGCACAGAACCCACGGGTAGGAGGCCCACAGAAACCAGGCACTCGGCCCACCAGGCTTGGGGGCCAGGCCTCGAGTACCCCCAGGCACTCCTGCTGGGTTGGAACAGTATTTCTGCAGGTACAGAACGGGTGGCTTCTTGAAAGCATCTGTTACCCAAATGTGTAATGTGTCTGCCTGCACTTCCTGGGACAGGATCCACCTCTAATTTCTACAGTCCTGGCCTGGAACCCACACCTCAGCTCTACAACGAGAACAGAGTCCTTAAGGAAGAAAACCGGAGCCTTCAGGCTCAGCTGAGTCATGTTTCCAGAGGTGGGTGGTAAAAGCCACACACTGTGCTCATTCTGGGTGCCTTTCCTCCTGGCCACACCAATCACCCCTTGAAGTCAAGAGAAGAAGGTGGATATAACAGCCAACCAGATCTGCCAACCCAAAGTCCCATGGCTGTTCTCAGTCTAGAAGGGGCTACTTCCTGAGAGGTCCCAACCATGGGCCCTCATGCTCCAAGGCTCTAGGGACAAAGATAGCTCTAGGAAATCCACCACCTCTGTGCAACCCATAGACGTTCAGATATTCAGTCATTAGTTATGAAACTGGATACCAGTTAGGTGTCTGTTCTACTTGTCTAGACTTTACCACAGGCTCGTGTGTCTCCCCCAGTACTGAGCTGCCATCCCCGTCTCCCACTACCTTCCCTCCCTTACCCACTCTGGGCTCCTCTCTGCTTAGGGATCCTCAGGACTCTGTGTCTGGAGGCACCAGCCAAATATCCTCCAGAGCGTTCCCAGCACTATTTGATGGGCATCCAAGGGGGGAGGGGGTATCATTTCCTCTGGGACCTGGGAGCAGCTGACCTTAGTGTCAGTTGACTTGATCAAATCAATATACGATCAATAACAAATTATATTTATCTGCAAATATTTATAGAATAGCCATAAAAGACTAATAGTTTCCTAAAGGATTAAGCCCAGAATGAAAGAATGCTTGTGGAACAGGAAGAGAGACATCAAGTGATATTTCTAAATTTGCCTCTCCAGAGCAGGAAGATGTGAGGGGAAAAGGTCACTGATGGGGAAGTAATGAGAGGTCACAGATAAGAGAGAAGGCACAGCTGCTAAACCCCCATTGCATGCCAGGACAGGCTAGCACAGACCTTCCAGGGGAGAAGACACTAAGATGTGAATAAGCGCAGTCGGCCAGACCCGGGGCCTCCCCCCGGACGACTGACAGCACCTGCAGCCCGATTCTCAGAGTCCCTGTCCATAGTCTCTGAGAAACCGTGCAGATCATTGAGATGCCACAAGCCCAGAAAAGAACAGATGTCCCCATTTTCAAATTGACGAGTATAATATATTCTAAAAACCGTAGACAAGAAATCTTGATGTTGGTCTTTGGCAAAATTCAAGAACGGATTATCACACAGAGGGTGTGTGAACTTAGAAAATAGTGAGCATTAGAAACCACAGCGTTTTGGGCGCCTGGGTGGCTCGTCGGTTAAGCATCTGCCTTTGGTTCAGGTCATGGTCCTGGGGTCCTGGGATCGAGCCCCCATGTCAGGTTCCCTGCTCAGTGGGGAGTCTGCTTTTCCCTCTCCCTCTGCGTCCTCCCCACTGCTCCTGCTCTGTCTTTCAAATAAATAAATAAAATCTTTGAAAGGAAGGGAGGAAGGAAGAAGGGAAGAAAGAAGGAAGGGAAGAAAGAAAGACCACAGCATTTTCTTTAAAAGCAGGGTAGACCTTGTAGACCTTATGAAATCAGAAGATCAAGGGCATTGCAAAGATGGAGGCTCCACATTCCCCAGGGCGTGTGGATGTGGTGAGCTGACACCCTCTGCCTCCCCAAGCAGCTGCAGAATTAGCTGGCCTTCATGTTGCCTTAGAGCTTGGGCTCCTCTTCCTGCTGGCCTCTGGCCCCACAGTATAAATCCTCCTGTGTTCCGCTCACCAGAGCGCTCCCAGGAGACAGAATGCCTGAGGGAGGCTCTGCTGTCCTCTCGAGCCCGGCTTCAAGAGTTGGAGATGGAGCTGGAGCACCAAAAGGGGGAACGGCAGCAGCTTCTGGAAGACTTGAAGGAGAAGCAGCAGGAGATCTTGCATTTCCAGGAGGAGCGCCTGTCCCTCCAGGAGAAAGACTCCAGGTAAGAGGGAGCCCAATAAGAAGGAAGGTGGCCCTGTTTTCAGATTTAGAAGAAGGGATATTGGCGAGTCAGGTATTGGTGCCTTTTGGGACCCTCAGTTTCCCCTCTGCTATTCCTGATTTATGGATGACTTTGAGCAGAAGGAATGACTTCTCTGGGAATGCCTTTTTCACTCCAAAGTTGGGAGAGTAAAACTCTATTTTAGAAGGCTTCAGCATATCAGGGGCACCTGGGTGGCTCAGTTGGTTAAGTGTCTGGCTCTTGATTTTGGCTCAGATCGTGATCTCTAAGTCCTAAGAACGAGCCCCGTGTTGGGCTTGGCGCTCAGCTTGGAGTCTGCTTGGGCTTCTTTCCCTCTTCCTGTCTCTCCTCTGCTCCTCCTACCACTTGTACGCACACACTCTCCGTCTCTCTCAAATCAATCAATCAATAAATCTTAAAAAAAAAAAAAAAGGGTTTTCAGCATATCAGATCCTGGAGAAAAAATGTTCTCATCCTTCCAGTTAGTTTAAGGATATTAGTCTCACCGTAATGGAGGAAGCATCCTCACCAACCGACATGCGCATCCCCGGCATAAACCCTGTAACTGCCAGTCACTGTGAAAAGAACACTGTAGGGGCAGTAAGAATACGGAGCTGTGTGTCTGCTCCCAGCTAACGTAACTAATGCCATGACTTCAAGCAAAGTTACTTCACCTCTCAGAGCTTGTTTCTACATCTGTAAAATAAAAGGAATGGTCTTCATGGCCCCTGGGTTGACATCTCGGGCTAAAACACCGTGATGCAAAGGCAGGCTGACAGCAGGTGCCCTGGAGCAGCCGAGGGGCGCTGGCCACTCAGTGGGCCCTTGCTTCCCCTGTGCAGGCTGCAGCATAAGCTGGCCCTCCTGCAGCAACAGTGTGAAGATAAACAGCAGCTCTTCCAGTCCCTCCGGTCGGAGCTACAGATCTACGAGGCGCTTTATGGCAATTCCAAGAAGGGGCTGAAAGGTATGTGTCTCCCGTCCCCCCTCCCCCATGAGCTCCCTGCCCTTGCTTAGGATCCCGGTGAGGTCTTTACCCTGGGAGTTGTAGAGCTCTGGAAAGAGTTCTGCCTCGGAAACTCCCAGCCAGGTCTGGGGCTGCCAATAAGAACAGAGGGGTTCTCTCATGCGCAAAGCCCAGGGGTTGGTGACATGAGCAAGATCCAGCTGAGACATCCTTAAAAGTAGGCCACAAGAGTCCAACTCTGCCTACCTAGATGGCCAGGGAAAAGCTGATAGAAGTCCAGCTTATACAGTGATTTTTTTTTTTTTTAATTCAAAGAACTGTCCTGATGGCACCATCATGTGAGAAGGTCTTGAATATTGTGAATAATACAGATTGACCACCCATGCAGCCAGTACAGTGGGCAACCTGCTTCCACCCTGACCCATTCCCCAGGGAGAAAATTAAAAGATGCAAAACATTTACAGAAATACCTCTATTAGGATCTAAATTTCAAGCCTGGATTTAAATTTTACACCGTTTTATTGAGGACTTTTGCCACCTGCTAAAATACTGATCTAATGTTGGAGAATCTTCTTCTATTTCCCCATTGCTGTACAAACGGGAGAGCATATTCTAAACATCAAGTTAATAACTCCAACCAGGCTAGAACAGAGGACTGATGTCAATATGATGAAATTTAGAAAAGATAAAAAAAAAAACAAAAAACCTTGAGCTTGATTAAAAATATCAGTGGTAGAGGTACAGGTACAGGTACAGGCCTGGCTCTCTAGCCATTCGTGAGCTTGAGGATGGGGAGTTAGTTAGAAACTCACTGGGACAAGGAACTTGTAGGCAAAGGTTGCTACAAAAGCCATTTCTTACCCTACTGAGACCGCAGTAGGGTAAGAGTGGTGTCCATATGAAGAGACCATGTCGGAAATATTGTTAGATTGTGGGGCACCATCTTGTAAAAGGGACATTGGCAAACCAGGGAACATAGTGAAGACAGGGACCACCATGCCGGGAGACCAGAAATCTTGAGCTGTCAGAGAAACTAACCAATTTTAGCCCTGGAAAAGGTCACAAGGAGAAGAGAACTGGCTTTAAATATTTGAAGAATTATCAGGTGAAAAAGAGCTGATGTGTTTGGTGTCCTTTTAGAAGGCTGAACAAGAGTCAAAGGATGAAGGGCAGTGGAATTTGGACTTAACATAATTTATGTCTTCCTTACCCCTAGAGCCTTCGAGTGATGGAATTGCTAGTTTGTGAAGGAATAAGCTTCCCATCCAAGCCCTCTTTAAATAGAAAGGGATGACTTGTCAAGGATCCCATAGAAACAGCTCTTGCTTTGGATGGGATGTTGGCTCTCTCAGCCTTGCGGTTCTAATTTTTTTTTTATTTTATGTTTAAAAATTCCTTAAGCAATATGGAATTTTCAATATTCAGCCAAATTTGCATTTTCATAAAACCTGATTGGATTTCCTAATTTGCTCATGAGAAGGTGAACCAGAACTTGAAGAAGTATCAGGCGCACCGCAGCCTGAGAGAATAGCTTATGTGCGCTCATGGGAGCATCGGGTCCAACCTGCCTGTGGGAGAGCTTTGTATCAGGGAGTGTGAGAAGTCAGGTCAGTTGATGAGACAGCTGCCGGTATGTAGAGGACATACGAAGTACGATGGAAGTTTACATTCTACATAGCAGGCCATGGAAAATGAGTGTTTTTCCAAGCAAAATAGGTACTTGATGGGAACAGAACTCTCAGACAGTAGGACTGGTGGGGCACGCTGGAGTCAGGAGATATTCGAATCAGGGAAACCCCCTGAATGGGGGCAGTTATAGGGCATTTACGCGAGGAGAGTCTGATATAAGGTGCTATTGGGAAGAGAAAGAGGAATGGATAGATGGACAACATTTTTTAAAAAGAAGCAAAACTGTGAGAATTTGGATGTAGGGAAAGAAAGATAGGAAAGAGCTTCATAGAGCTTTGGGGTTAGTATCTAGAAACCACTTCATCCTGCCTACATCTTCTTTCATGCCTTTCTCCCTTCTTATAGGTGTTTTAGGAGTCATTTCAAAGCTACTACCACTAAAGCCCCATAGTCTCTTATCCTTAATTCTATAATCCTGTGAGAACCATGAATTCTGTGATATCTCTTTCATATACTCATTTGGTCACAAAACCTATCTGAACTGACCGAAAGGGTATTCACAGTCTTCACTTCCCCATTCAGTGATAATGTTCCCCGGCTCATCACAGAAATATGAATGTGGGGGCGCCTGGGTGGCTCAGTCGTTAAGTGTCTGCCTTCGGCTCAGGTCATGATCCCGGGATCCTGAGATCGAGCCCCGCATCGGGCTCCCTGCTCCGCGGGAAGCCTGCTTCTCCCTCTCCCACTCCCCCTGCTTGTGTTCCTTCTCTCACTGTGTCTCTCTCTGTCAAATATATAAAATCTTAAAAAAATATATATGAATGTGTTTGACTAAAGGCCTGTGGCTCCGATGCAACCCTATGCATGCACTACATGATAGATGGTATATGGATCCTATTGCCTTCCTACACACCAAAACAAATTCTATTTTTTGAAATATATTTGGCTTCAAGGTTTCAGATAAGATATGTGGTCCTGTAAAATATTGCTTAGCTCTCTTCATCCCCGGTATGAAGAAAGAGACTGTGTGTGGCAAATGGAGGTAAAGAACAAAACAAAACATGGCGAAGTAGAACAGTTCAGTGAGTTGTGACCGCCAGCCTCTAGCAGAGACCCCCATTCCTACATGCTGTCAAAGGCCTGGTGCCTCCTCTCCTCTCCGAGGTGACTCCTGAGCATGGAGGCATCAACTCTCCTTCTCCCTCATCCCCTGCCCTTCTGTAGTGCGGTGCTGACCCCCTATCTCGGAAGACCCCACTCTCTGACCTGTAGGACTAGGGTTCCTGTGGAAGTGGACTAATAATAGGCCTTGACCCCACCTGCTCATCCAAGGCTCTCCAGATGCAGGTGGGTCACGTGAGCCTCAGGGAAATTCCCGTGTGCGGTCTATCTCACTCTGCGTGCCAGGCCCCACACGGGCAAAGGGGCAGCCCCGTCCCAGATGTGTGGCCTGGGACCCTGAGAGGACAGCGGGATCCCGAGCCAAAAGGAATGTCCCAGAGGAGTGTTCTGACAAATGCTTGAAAAGCTCGGATCCCAGCCACCAGACCAGACCCCTCCTCTCTCTTCTTTCAGCTTCCACCCGGGATGCGGGGCACCAGGTCCCTTCGAGCAGTGACTTGAGCCAGCTGGTGGCAGAGATCCGAGCTTTGCGAGGGCAGCTGGAGCGAAGCATCCAGGTGAACAACTGTCTGCGACAGCAGCTGGAGCAGCAGTTGGACGGTGGGGGGGGCAAAGCTAGCCTCAGCCCCTCCTCCGCCAACGAGGAGGACCCTGGAAACAAGCAACTGCTCTTCCAAGGTGGGAAGGAAAAGGGGACCGGGACGGCCGTAGCCAGGGGGGGGCGGGGGCCAGGACGTCCGTGGTGGAAGGGACCGGCTTCCCTCTCCCACACTCCTTAGGGTCAGGGTGAAATCGGAGGCGTTTCAGCGTCCAGCCTGGGGCGAGGGGGCGGGGTTGAGGGTCCCAGCTCGCTAGGGCTCCAGACTCTGAGTTTGTGCGTGCAGGTTGCTTGCCTTGGGCAAGGTGTTTGAAGTCCTCGGGTACTTAAGCCTTACTTTTCTCATCTTCAAGATGAGGATAATAATCATATATATGTTGTAAGGCCATTTGGAGCATTAAGGTGAGTAATTTACAAGTGCCTGACACGATAAGGATTGATCCGCAGTTAACAGCTGTGTATGTTAGTATCTCTTCCTTGTATTTGTGGAGTGCTTTAAAATTTACCATGCGTTTTCAGGGCGCCTGGGTGGCTCAGTTGGTTGGGCAACTGCCTTCGGCTCAGGTCATGATCCTGGAGTCCCGGGATCGAGTCCCGCATCGGGCTCCCTGCTCGGCGGGGAGTCTGCTTCTCCCTCTGACCCTCTTCCCTCTCGTGCTCTCTATCTCTCATTCTCTCTCTCAAATAAAATAAATAAAATCTTTAAAAAAAATAAAAAATAAAATTTACCACGCGTTTTCAAACAATTTTTCAAAGTCTTTCATCCGAGAGGTAAGGGAGGGTTTACTCTCCGTATTTCAACGTCGGAAAACTTCGGCATTGAGACGTTAACTCGCACATCAAGGTTTGCGACAGCTAAGACCCGACCCAGAATTCGAACCAGATGTTTTGGTTTCCAGCCCCCGTCCTTCCCCCTCACTATGCTCTGTCTCGGTGTCGCTGGCCTTCCAGGTCCCCATTCCCTGATGGGAGGGGAACTCAGCTGAGTGGAAACCGTTCCTGTCCCGGAGGCTGTCATCCCCTCTCCTGCTTGCCTGCTCTCTCCCTCTCTTCTCAAAGTCCTTCATCCAGCCCCCTTTGCCTAGCTTCTATCTGAATGTTAATACTGCCCCCCCAATCTTGACACACTCAGATCAACTTCCTCTTCTTTCTCTTCTTCTTCTTCTTCTTCTTTTTTTTTTTTTTTTAAGATTTTATTTATTTATTTGACAGAGAGGGAACACAAGCAGGGGCAGTGGGAGAGGGAGAAGCAGGCTTCCCGCTGAGCAGGGAGCCCGATGTGGGGCTCGATCCCAGGACCCTGGGATCACGACCTGAGCCGAAGGCAGATGCTTAACGACTGAGTCACCCAGGCGCCCCTTTTCTCTTCTTTTTTTAATTCACCAACTCCTCTCACCTCCAGGGCCCTATTTTCAATTTTATTTCAACAGGAGCCATTTCTGCTCAGGATTATCTAAAGCTGAGCTTTCAAACACATTCCTGCCTGCTTTTCCTGGGGCATGTTAATCCTTAGCTTCCCCCCCTGGTCCTGCGAGACTTTCACTGATTAGATAATGACCTCACTTGTCAAATGAAGGTGATGCTTCCAAGATCCTGTGTTGTGGCCATTAGATAAGAAGGTGTCACGTGGACTGTGGCCCGTAGAAACTGCCTGGCTCCACCCGGGCTGCCGTGATGGTTGTAGTGTTGTTATGACCCCTCACTCTGCCCTCCTACCCGGCGCCCCCACGACCCCAGCCAGGACTCAGCCCCAGCAACTCCACCACTGCTCCTGCTGCTCATCCGCCCAAGACACCTGAGCTAGAGAGCTGGTTCTAAGGCACCTCCTGAGCAGGATTGTCCCTGTCTCCTCTCTTTTCCAATTCTTCCGCTGTCGGATTGCTGCCTGGTCTCCAGGAGGGTGTCTCTTGCCCGCCACACCTTCTCATCCTACTCCATTTTTTCCAGCGCTAACTCATCAGAACGGTGATTGGAATGCTAGTTTAATTGCCCACAAGTCCATTCATCCTTTGATTCAGTATTTTTGACACATATACTACGCATATGGGATGTGGAAATATTGGGGCTCAGAGCTGATGGCCAAGAAAGAATTCTTAAGACATTTTTGGTGCAAAAAGGTGTTTTTATTATAGCACGGGGACAGGACCCATGGGCAGAAGAGCTGTGCTGGGGTTGTGAGGAGCCGTTGGTTATATACTTTGGAGTTGGGGGAGGCAGAGGCAAAGGGAAGTTTCCAAAAGGACTTTAATATGCTAAAGAAGACTCAGGGGATACTGGAGGCCTGGCTATTGTCAAGCTAAGACTGTTTTTCCCTCTAGTAGGTCATTAAGACAGTTGGGAGTTCCTGAAGTAACGTCTTACTCTGCCGGCCTCAAGTATTTGTCCCTGGGCTGCAGGGTGTAGGGACATTTAACCTTATCTATATCTCCTTTTGCCTTTGTTCTCCACATCATAGGTGTGCATATTTATACTTAGTTACAAGGCAGTGTATTAGAAATTGCACACATAATTATATTCAAAATGCAGGTTAGAAAAATGCACCTAATAATTTTTCAGACCAGAAGTTGCTTCTCATGGAACACATTAAAGGAACATGTTCTTGTTCCAAACTAAGGGATGTGTTTGCTGTTGCTTACAGTCATGGTCTGGGAGTGACGATGATGTAAGAGACAAACCACACTGCCTTAGATCTCTGCTGGTGAAGACTAGGCTGTGCATGGGTTTGGTGAGCAGTGCGTTCCAGGGTTCCTGAAAATTGTTTTTGTCTTTACGCCCTAGACTCCATTGCTTCCCCTCCAGTACGAGATGTTGGCATGAATTCTCCAGCGCTCGTGTTCCCTAGCCCTTCTCCCGCTGCTCCTGGCTCAGAGACCGCCATCTTCAATAAGACAAATGGTAACTATGGCAACTGAAGGATTCAGGGACTGATGATGTAAAATTACCAATGCAAGTAACTTTTGGTTACTAATGGACACGTTATCTGATTGTAGAGATTTTTTTCCCCGGGTCCCAAGGTCTTCAGCCCTACTCATTCCACCTTCTGTGGCCACCTTTCTTGCCATTATTCTTCCTCTTGTGGTTTTTTCCTATTGCTCTGTTGTACTTCATTGTACAGTGCTCTCTCCCTCCTTGAAAGTGCTCTCTGTGTCCAGCTTAATTTGTCTGTGTCTTCTCAACCGGAAATTAAAAACTTTCTGTTAAAATCATATTTGTCCTGGATATTTCATTTGTCAATAAGGATAAAATTTGCCTCCTGGCCATTTTATCATTATGAGTTGATGTAAGAAAGATTATAAAAACATAGAACCCAGAAATCTATGGACTTCATATCTTGCTTGTACTTTCCCAGATTGCCTTTCCTGTTCCTGGCCTCTTTCAGTATTTGATGTCTATTTTAGAATGGACTGGACTGAGGATATGCTTATCACTGTGGATTCTATGTTGTTCTGGTTTTGTTTTTCAGAGCTGGATTTGGATGCTTCGGCAGTAATGAAGAACCCTCCCAAGCTGGAGGGCGAAGCTACTGATGGTTCTTTTGCCAGTAAACATGGCCGCCATGTCATTGGCCACATTGACGACTACAGTGCCCTACGACAGCAGATAGGGGAGGGCAAACTGCTGGTCAAAAAGATAGCAGCTCTTGTGAGATCAGCCTGCTCCTTCCCAGGCCTTGAAACTCAGGGCACAGAGGTAATCACGTTGTAGATCTTAGGTGCTCCTTTTTCCTTGTGCCCTTTCTCCTTCTGATCTAAGCTCCTTCTCCCACTGCACATCTCCCACAGCTGAGGCTACATCTTCTGCTTATGCCCAGCCAGGCCTTTCTTCTCCATCCCCTATTTTTCACTATAAACTCCGCTCTGACTGACTTTTCCTCTCAGAAACACAGAAGAGCTTGAGGAGCATTGTCATCCTCATCTGTAGAACATTTGCTGAGTATTGGCTTATGTGTGGTGCTCTACTGAGCACCCTTTGTTCGCTTATTATCTGGTCCAGTCACCCTGGCACATGGTCATCTGTGGGCAGAGTAAAACCACTTAATCAGGTGGCTGGAAATTCAAGATTTGCATCCAAATGGGCCACATGTTGTAGAAGGGGTGAGAGGCCTGGCAGCCGTGGGATTTCTCTGCGCAGACTGAGCAGGGGAAGGAAACGGGCAGTGTGCCTTCTCAGAGTACTTCCCTGTTCAGAGAACAGGTACCAGCTGCTGTGCTCTCCGAGCCACTGGAGACGCATGGACATGCAGGGACAGCCCTGTCCCCAAGAGCCCCCAACCCAGAGAGAAGGCCACACATCCAAGTAAATAAGGACAACAGGGGGCCTGGGCTCAGGATCGGAAGCCATCCTCTGAGTTGTGAGGGCACGAACACAGAAGGGGTCATTGTGCCAGGCAAGGAAAGTCACAGGGTCCTAGAGGAACCACTAGGGGGATACGCAGGTTCTCGGGGTGATGGAGGGTAGCATTCCAGGTAAAGGGAATGGCATTTCAGTCCTTGGAGCTACAAATAGTTCAGCCCAGCTGAAGCAGAAGGTATGATTTAGAGATGTGCACGGGGGTGCCAGGGCAAAAATCAGGGACCTTTGACCTGAGAGCACGGAGCAGGACTAGAAGCTTACAGAGAGTATGACAGAAGCCGGAATCTAGTGATTCTTGCAAGTTGGAGGTCACTGCTGAGGTGGAGATCCGGCTTCCAGGTTAAAAAAGGGTTTCACAGGGTCAAGCAGGCCCGTGACTGTGCCTCACTCACGAAGGAAACCTGAGCCCTGTGCTGAGGTTCTGGGCGGGGGGGGGTTGCGGGAGAGAGCGATCTCTCAGCCTCGGTGGTGCCCAGGGCTATATCCCCTCTCCCTCAGGTGCCCAACAGCGAAGGCATCCATGAACTTGGGAGCAGCGCCCAGGCCCTGCAGCACACGCTGGAGGAGTCGGCCTCCCTCCTCACCATGTTCTGGCGAGCAGCCCTGCCCAGCTCCCCCGGCCCTGCCCTGTCTGGCAGCACGGTGAGTGGTGGCCTCCTTCACCGCTTTTGCCCTAAATGCCATTCTGCCTCCTTAGTTCTACAAGTGCTAAAGGTCAGGAGCTGGACAGCTGAGTTGGGACTGAGGGGCCTTAGGGGAGCGTCCCTGGGGGAAGACCTGTCATCCGTGGTGGTGGCTGGCAGTGCAGCTCTGAGGACATCTCTTCTCCACCCCCCGCCCCCCAGCAAAGAGGGAAGGACAGAACAGGGAGAGGGCAGACGCATGAGAACCCCGGTGACCAGGAATGTTCAGGTTCTTTCACTTTTGGAACTTGGCTGAGCTGAAAAATTTAGGGACCTGTCAAAAACTCCTTTCCCCATGCCACCCCCACAGAATGAGATGACCAGCCTCCTTGAGCCACCCACTGCGTCATTCCAGTACATAGCGCCCCTCCACATCTCTGGGCCAGGCCTGGGAGAGTCAGCTTCCCCACCCGCCAGATGCCCTCAGCCTTGAGGCCTGGACTCTGGGTGGTGGGAGCCTGGACAGGAAGGTTTCTCAATTTATCCCCCCACCGCCCTCCCCAGGATTCTAAGGCCAGATTCAAGGCACGGATACCTTATGGGCCCAAACTATGCCAGTTCTGAGGGAGAGGGTGTTTTGCCATCTTGAAGTTGGTCCAAAGATCTACAAAATCGCAGACTGTCTCCCCAGGCACAACATTCCCAACCAGCAAGGCTTCTCCGAGGTGCCAGGGCACTAGAACTGGTGTCAGCGCTAAATGTGAGCTCTTGTACCACCACTGGGGGTCCTGGGGCTGCCCTGCAGTCAGTTCTCCTCAGCAGCAGGGGTGGAGGCCTGTGTCCATCTTCATGGAGGCTCCCAGGTTCTCAGGGTTCCAACCTAATGGCCTCATTCTAAGCGGGCCTCAGCTGGAGGATTTTAGAGGCTTTCATGGAGGGACTCCAGTCCAGAAATAGTTGAGAAGATTATAGAATCCCACTTTTGATTTTCAAGAGCAGCAAAGCATGGGGTGTTTTAGGCCTTCTGACCATTGACAGAGAGCCCGTTTCCCTTCCCCAGGGACAGTCCATGAAAAGGGAACTTCTGGAACTGAGAACCAAACTGTCCAAACAGGAGAGTCTCCTTCAGAGCACAGTGGAGCGTCTGAAGACTGCCAACCAGCAGAAGGAGAGCATGGAGCAGTTCATCTTCAGCCAGTGTGGGTGCCCCCGAGCCAGGGGATGGGAGAGGAAATTGGGGGTGGGGGGACTTCCAGACTCCCCACTTGTGCTACAGATGGACCGTGACCAGACAGACTGGGCGGCGGGGTGGGGGTGGGGGTGCAGACCGATGTAATGTCCCCAAACATCCTGTGCCATGAGTAATTGTAGATGCAGAGGGAGGGGCACTGGGTGGGGGCAGCAGCAGACCCTGAGCTGGGCGACTAGAAAGACGCCCTTTAGAACACACCAGGCAAGTATGGGCCCAGCTGGTCACTTCTGCCTGTTGTGCTGTTTTGTTGTTTCAGTGACCAGGACACATGATGTTTTGAAGAAGGCAAGGACTAATTTGGAGGTAAGGAGACCATTGCACCCGCCAGAGCCACAGAACCCAGGCCCAACCCATCCCAAATCCATCCCCACCTACCTTCAGAGTCTGCGACGATCCCGGACCCACTCTGACCTTCCCGGAGAGGATTTCTGGTCCACTCCTAGGACTCAGGTCCTCACTAAGTGTCCTTGTAGCTTCGTGCCCCATCACCTCTCCCACCCCAGTCTGTCCCCTGCCGTCTCCTCTCCTTGTCACATTGTCACCCTCTTCTCTCGTCACCCCACTTCTTCCCTCCTTTAGGCCAAGTCAGGAGTCCGAGGAAAGCAAGTGAGTTGATTCCCAAGATCAGAGGACATGGGGAGTCCACCTCTGAATTAGCTTCCAGGAAAGGGCTCTGGGACCAGCTCTAGTGTTTCCTGTAGCTCTTTTCACTTCATGAAAAAATAAACCCCAGATGCGATCGAATCGGTTGATTCCACTGCACACTCTGTCGGCAGAGAACAGCAATTCAGTTTTGATCTTTCTTTTTCCAAAGAAAACCATTGGGTCTTCTCGAACTAAAAGAGAATTTGATAATAAATAAAATGAAACTTGAGGGGAAACATTTTATGTATATAGCAGCTATTCTGTACGTTTACTTCAAATACTAACCCATTCCCTAGCAAGTAAGCTGAAGTGTGGCAAATGGCTTGTAAATCAGAAACTAAACCTTTAGGTAAGGCACCAGGGTGGCTCAGGCAGTTGAGCATCTGACTTGATCGTGGCTCAGGTCTTGATCTCATGGTTGTGGCTTCAAGCCCAGTGTTGGGCTCCACGCTAGGCATGGAGATTACTTAAAAAAGAAGAAAGAAAGAAACTAAACCCTTCACTTGGACTTTAAAGCTCTGCCGTAAGCAATTGGGCCGATTCCTAGGAATGTTCCTGATGGAACCTGGGAGAATATTGATCCCACAGTATGAAAATGACTTCAAGACTTAACCCTCCTTTTTTGGGGGGCGAATTCCCTTTTGTTCTTCTCTGATGATTCCTTTCTTTCCTGAGCCTGTTTAGAAGAACACATACAAGATGGCCTCTGTAAAGCCTTATTCCTGCCCAGCAAAGGTAACCCAATAGTCCCACACACCCACTGGCTTCCCCTTGTTCGGAAGTTTCCTCTGCACTTCCCAGAGACCAATGGAAAGGGCCCGAGGCCCGGGTTCTAATCCCAGGCTCGTCACTAACTGGCCCTGTGGCTGGCCCCCTCAGTGTCGGTGAGCCCACCGGCCCTCATCTGTAAGAGGGGCCACTAGACGTGGGGGGGGGGTGGTTCTGAGCTCCCTGCTGATGGGGCCCCTTCCTCTCCTCATTAAGTAAGTGGGACATGAACTTAACAGGGGACTTCCCTGCACAACATCCTCTCCTTCCTACCACAGGCTGTTTCTACATGGGCGTGTTTCATACTAAGCACATCGGTTCCTGGGAGGTGACAAAAGCCATCATTTTGCTCCAAGTGAACTGGGGAGTGAACTGGCCCGTGAAGAGGGAATGTGGGATCTGGGCACCTGGTGTGCAGTGGCTCTGAGCAGGGCCATCACCCGCCCGAGGTGGTGGGGAACTTTCCCTCTCACCTGGCGGCACCTCGGGACCACGCCCCTTGCCCTGGGTGCATCCTTCTGTCAGGCTCTCTCTGAGCTCCCGGCTCTGCCACCGCCCAGTGCTCACTGCAGCTGAGGGAGCCACCAGCAGGCCCTGGTCCTGGACTCTCACCTTGTTCTGTTTTTGTCTCCAGGTGAAGTCCCTAAGGGCTCTGCCGTGCACCCCAGTCTTGTGACCCTTGCCTTCCAGGAGCCACGCCAGAAGAGGAGCCGCCGGAGGTCTTGCCAACAGCAGGAAGGATGGGCCTGCCCCCCTTTGGTGCAGATGCCAATCTACTGAGGAGACCTGGATCCCACTCCTCCACACCTGCTGGAGGGTCCAGGAGGAGTCAAGAGGCCGGCCCGGTGGAGGGCAGACAGCCTCTCCTATGGCTAAGGGACACCATCCGCCAGGGGCTGCTCAGCCCCGCACTGAGCAAACACGCACAGTCTGTAGAGGAGCTCGTGACACTGCTTCTTAGTGCCGCACTGGCCTGGGGACTGGCAATGGCCACTTCTCGCTCCAGCACCCGTCCTCAGATGGTCAGCTCAGGGGACACAGGGCCCTGCTGCCTACAGATGGGACACCTGGTCCCCACACGGGACCTCCTTGGCCCGTTCCAAAGCCCACAAGTGACAGCGGTGCCCTGAGGGCCAGTGGGGCTCAGCCAGCACGACTCCCAGATCCACGCTTCCCCGGGGCCAGCTCAGCCGGGCCGCCATCAGGCTGGGTGTCAGTCTACACCGCGGCTCCTGAGTGCTTTGAATGCACATGGCCAAAGCGCTGGCTTCCCACGCACCATCTCCTGCTTAGCCTAGCACCTCCTAGTTCCCTTCTTTTAGGATCTCCAAAGTGTGGCCACCTCGCTCTGAATATGCTGTCGCCTTCCATCACCCTAACTCCTCTCTGGGGAACTGGGACTCGTGGCCAGGCCAAGCCCAGTGAAAGTCATGTGTAAGACAAACCAGTGATCATTTTGAAGTGGCACCTGAGAAGCCCCCAGTTGTGGGAAAGCCTAGTCTGTGTCCTGACAGTGCTTTAGAAGGCGTGTACGTGTGTATAAATGTACCATAGATATTTATATATGTTGCTATAGTGATATGTTGAGGGCAACATAACTGGTGGACAGGGTCTGTTAGAGGAAATGAAACACGGTCTTTTTGGTGGCTATGAAAGGAAAATGTGTATAAAGAAAAAAATCGTTTTTCCTCACCTGCTCTGTTTCTGATTTCGGCACCAGTCTCTAGGCTGAGTGTGTAAGAGTAGGAAAGGCACACTGTCCCTAAGAAGGTCATAGTCTAAGACTTGGAGTCTAAGTTTAAGAGAAGAAGTCTTGCCTTCTTCATCATTTTGTAAAAATCCCCAATCTGAAAATAGAAGAGAGTGGTTCTTAGATTTGGAGAGCCTTAGAATCAGCTGTGGAGATCAGAGAAGCCACTTCCTTGGTCCCAAATGCCAAGAGATTTCGTTGGTGTGGGGCCCCAGAATGTGCATTTCTTACATAAATACCCCAGGTGATTCTGATGCGGGTGGGCTGCAGACCACAGCTGAAAACTGTTTTTCTCTAACACCCAAAAGTATAAATAGTTTTCTTTAAAGATTTTATTTATTTATCTGACAGAGAGAGAGCACAAGCAGGGGGAGCAGCATGCAGAGGGAGAAGGAGAAGCAGACTTCCACTGAGCAGGGAGACCAATGTGGGGCTCAATCCCAGGACCCTGGGACCATCACCTGAGCAGAAGGCAAGACACTTAATGACTGAGCCACCCAGGTGCCCCCAGTTGTTTTATTTTCACTGATACCCTTCAGTTGAAAAGTGTATAAGTCCTTCCATAAATGTTGGCATAGAGATCTGCAAATATTCCTTGGGAAGAGTCCTTAGGTATGTCCTTTTGCCTTCCAAGAATTACTATAAAGCTATCACTCCACAATTATTTCCTAGACAGAGTTAAAACCACAGACAATAACAACAAACAAAACCCTCAGATACGATCCTCACAACCATCACCACCACCACCAGTAACAAAAAGACCCAAGAAAAGACTCCCACCCGAGGTAGGGCTGCCCCTACTTTTACAGTCGATGGAGTGACTGCGCATCTGCTCTCACGCTCTGCTGTTCAAGTGTTTCCACGAAGGCCTTTGGCCGTCGATATAGAGGAACTCGCTGGCCCAATCAGCAGAATGGATGAAAGTCAGGTAGCTATTAAGATAAGGAAAGCAGGGTGCCTGGGTGGCTCAGTCGGGTAAGCATCTGCCTTTGGCTCAGAAATTATCCCAGGGTCCTGCTCAGTGGGGAGCCTGCTTCTCCCTCTCTCTGCCTGCCTCCCTCTCTCCATCAAATAAATAAATAAAATCTTAAAAAAAAAAAAAAAAGAAACCAAGGGCAGGACCATGTTGCCCTGTGGTGATTCCAGCATCCCAGCAATTCGTCCTCCATCCCGGTGCCACCAGGGCTGGTGCACACTGACAGGATAGTCAGTAATCAGTGGCGAACTCAGATACTGCTGCTACAAAATTCATTTTCGGTACATAACATTTAGGAAAGCAATAGCACATGGTGTCATATAAACCTCACTCTGCTCAGGATCCAGGCACAGCTCTCTTTCCAGGAAAAGCCCTAAAGCCCATTCTTGATTTCACCCTTTGTGAAAGGTTGAAAAGTAGCTCTGTGCCTTAAGAGAACTCATTGCAACAAAAATGAGTTCCTTTGTACCTTTGATGGGAGGATTGTCCAATATTCACCTTTTTGTAAGTTATGTCCTACCCCTCCCCGTGCAAGTAACAGAGGCCACTCTTAAAAATTAAAAATCTCTCTGTGTGACCACCAATTCCTATAAGAACCTTGCTGAGCCCCTGCAGGGAACAGACTGTGAATCCCAGGGAAAGGAATGGAAAGAGAAAAGATGGCAAGTGATGAGAACAAAGGCAAAAGAAATGTCAGTAAAAGTAAATTTCCTTACAACCTGCAGCCCATGGATACATACCTGAGACAGGCGGAGCAGGACATTCCTCCATGAGCTCACAACCGCCTTAATGGTAATGCTTCGCCAGAGGCAAAAAGCACCTTAGCTAGAAAATAGCCAGACCTCCAGGATCCTGGAAGTCTCCTTTAACACCTAAAAATCCTTTGGAGACTTCTTTATCTCTACCCTCTACCCCCAATGTAAAGTATATCATCAGTCACTCCTCACAATCCCAGGGCAGCTTTTCCTGCCCAGGGGTCCTGTCCCTGAACTTTCATAAAACCACCTGTTTGTACCAAAGACGCCTCAAGAATTCTTCCTTGGCCGTTCGCTCCGGGCCCACATCCCATCAGCAGGTACCTAAACGTAACACGTAAACACGAATAAAACCGGCCCTTGACCTGTCGACCTAAGACAGACACTACCTGCAGAACTTGTACAGAATTTATCGCATCCCCCAGATCTCATTACCGCTGAGGTGAATGCGCTAGACGATTACATCGGTTTGCTATTCCTGTGGTACCAAGTCGCCTAAACATAGCACCTTAAAAGAACACACATGTTTTATCTTACAGTTCCGAGGGTGCAAAGTCCCAACAAGGCTCTCACTGGACTAAAATCAAATGTCCACAGGGCTGCCTTCCCTTCTGGGGGCTCTAGGAGAGGGTGGAAATAAGGGAAACCTCACTAAAATGCAGTCCTGAGGTTTCAGCAAGGGAGCTCCTTCACCCTCCTTACCTCCTAGGGCATCGCAGCCCCCAGGGGAAGAGACTGATCTGACCTTACAGGGACTTGACATTGCACATGGATAGGCCTCCACTAACCCGGCCAGAGTAAGAAACGCTAGCCTTGTCCCCCAGGGAGATGCCAGCACACTTCCAACTCACAGTTCACCCCGATGGACTTTTATTTTTTTATTTTATTTTATTTTTTTTAAAGAGTTTATTTATTTATTCATGAGAAACAGAGAGAGAGAGGCAGAGGGAGAAGCAGGCTCCCAAGGAGCAGGGAGCCCGATGCGGGACTCGATCCCAGGACCCTGGGATCATGACCTGAGCCGAAGGCAGACGCTTAACCATCTGAGCCACCCAGGCGCCCCCGATGGACTTTTATAACAGCCTTCCCAACTGACCCCTTTTCTCCAAAAAGAAGAGCTTACCTCCCCCTGTTCTCCAGACTTGCCTATGGTTTTGCCACAGCTGGTTTGTCCCAGATCACCTTTCCCTTTTATTCCCCACGAATCCCATTTTTGCCGGTAAAATACCTGGCGGTTTCTATATTTTAGGTTAACCAGGCAGTGTGTCTCTTTGCCTGTTCCAGCTCCTAGAGGCCCCTCCTCCATGCTCAGGCCCAGCCCCAGCCCCAGCCCCAGCAGGCAGAGTCCTCCTCACAGAGCATTCTTCTGACATCCTTCTCTGCCTCTTGGAGTTTTAAGACCCCCTTGTCATTGCAGGGGGCTTCCTGGATAATCCAGGATCATCTCCCCATCTCAAGGTCCTTAACATAAGCACCTCTGCAGGGTCCCTTTTGCTGCAAGATGGAACATGTGCACAGGTGACTTGTGATGGGGTTTTGGAATACAGGTGAGGTTTGGTGGGGTGAGGTCCAGAGCCAACGATGAAGAAAGAATTCTTGAGATGTCTCTGGTGCAAAACGGTGGTTTTATTAAGGCACAGGACAGGACCTGTGGGCAGAAAGAGCTGCTGCCCTGGGGTTGTGAGTAGAAGCTCATTATGTGCTTGGGAGTTGGGGGTAGGGGAAAAGGTTCTCAAAAGAACTACAGGGGCACCTGGGTGGCTCAGTCGGTTCAGCATCTGCCTTCGGCTCTGGTCATGATCTTGGGGTCCTGGGATCGAGCCCTCCATCGGGCTCCCTGCTCAACGGGGAGTCTGCTTCTCCCTCTCCCTCTGCCCCTCCCTCTGCTCTGCTCTCTCTCTCTCAAATAAAAAAATAAAATCTTAAAAAAAAAAAGAACTTTCAAATGTTAGAGAGGACTCACAGGAAAAGGGGAGGCCTAGCCATTGTCAAGTTAAGGTTGTCTTTCCCTCTAGCAAGGCATTAACATTAAGACAGTTGGGAGCTTCCTGGAGGAATGTCACAAGTATCCCACCCAGGACTGGGGGGTGGGGGTTCAGGGTGTCAGCTTGTGCTTTATCCTCAGCTAGCCTTCTGCTCCCTCATCATTTCACCCCTGAACAATTGTGACCCTTAAATCTTTAAGGTTGTTGAAGGTGGAAGGTCTCATCTTCTGTAGCTTCTTCCTGCTGAATAGGGGCATAGAGATGTCCTTACCTACGGGTCAATATTGGTCAGTTGGGGAACATAAAGGGGAGTTACAAAAGGGGGGGCAGCTGAATCCAATGCGGATGACATATGTGAACCTCCTCGAGTAGGAAGGATCATCTGTCAGCAGGAAGTTACGTCAATGAAAAGTGTCTTGGCACCAGGCAGGGAGACTCTGGAAATGACAA